ACTTAATTGAGTCTGACAGCAGTTCTCATCCAAGCAACAGTGCGAAGAGTGTGTTCATGCCATCAGATCCAGTGGCAGTCTGGATGGTTGTGATCTTTCACTAAGATGTCAGCATTGAAGAAGACAAATGCACGGGTTTATTCTGCAAACAGAAAATTATTTCTGAAAAGCATTCTAAAGCTTATAGAGCACTACTTACTTAAGGAAGTGGCTCCTGCTGTAAGTTCTCATGCTTCTCCTATCTTCTTTGTATAATCATAATCCTTATCAGTTAAATAGACTTTTTTTTTAATTATTAAACGTGTCTAGAATGGTGGTACAGAAGTGCCAGCCAAGAAAAGGTTCTCATAGATTCTGTACAAACATTATTAAATATATGGTCTCTTTGTGAAAGACTTTAAAAAATAGATGAGGCACTTATTGTTGGAAGAGAAGATGTAATCACAGGGAAAAATATCTTTGCTTCTGCTTATAAGGACAAAAATGTTCACAGAAAGTGAATGAAACAAGCAGCTAATAGAAGAGTAAATATCTCATGCATACAGTTTCATAAAAAACCTGCAAATGTCGGTTTAGAGATCTGAAATGACCTGCTCAGGTAACTCTTATTTCAGGATCCTAGGCAAAGCCAGGACTGTAACACTTAAGACATGTGGCCTGGCGTTTAGCAGACGATGCATATGAGAAAATAATATCCAGGAGAAATCACGAGCTGCTTCCATTAGTTTGTAAACTGTCTTCTTCTCTGAAAATATAATATTTGTGCCATTTGTGAAGGGCTTAGAATTGTACACTCTCACAGTTGGGTGTATTTTGGCAAGGGGGTGTGTGCGTATACAAGTACGTTTTCTGTTGCACTGTTGCATCTGAATAGGTTCAGATACTGATGTTAGGAAATTTGTATTTTACTTTTAGTCTTATAAACTCCTTCAGAGGCATACATTTTTTATTGCTAAGAGCTTGTGTTTATACCTTTCAGCTGATAAATGGAGTGATTTAGATGATGTAGAAAATTTCTAGTATTTTCTATATATAGAGATTTTTATCTCAAATGAAAGTTATTTCCCTGTTATTAATTTGCATTCAGGAGTCAGGATTTCCCTTTGAAATACTGCTAGGCAGGCTCTTTCCTGAGGAGTCTTTTAAATCTGGCATAGTTTGCTCTTTGTCAAACTATAGGTATACACTATAGGTAGAGCTACAGTGTTTGCATCCCCTTCATACAAAATAAATCTTTGAAAATTTTTAATGCTTCATTGAATGACCTAAGAAAAGGCAGAGCCAGTCTGCCTGCTTGTGAGTGTTTCCCATGTTTTGACTCTATGCGTTTTTCTCCATCAACGTCATTCTTTTTCTGAAGACTTCCAAAATCAGTCAAATGGTTGCTTCAGAGCTGGACAGCATGTATCTTTGCTTCAAGTATTTTGCTGTAAAGTTACCTGATCCGTAGGTAATTTAAATTTCCTTACCTTTATTGTTTTACAAGTATTTCATTCCTTTTTTTCTCCCTTCCAGTATATTTTGATCTGGGAGATGGGAGGAAAGACAAGGTGAAGGGAAGGAGAGAGAAGAAATCTTGTGTGGTCTTCAGTTTGAAACCTTAGTCTGATGAAAGTATAGCTTTTATTTTTTGACTACAGATGAGTAAGTAGATAAAACCAGAATGTTGCACCTGTGTAACTGTTTCTTCACCGCTTGGAGCTGGGGTTCCACAGCCCCCTTCCGCGGGCCGGTGACACGAGTGGGTAGCACCACCTGCTGGCACCGCCGGCGGGAAACAGCGCGGAGTGGCACCGGCACTGCAGGCTGGCATCCCGGGGCGGCTTCAGCCCAGCAAATCTTGGATGCCGATAGCTGCACTCAGGTGCAGATAAAGCTTCAGCCGTGGTTCCACTCTTCGAAAACCCCGTGCCACACTGATCTTCTCTGCAATTGACACTCAACCTGAATAAACAATTGCTTTGGATATAACTTAGTGTACTTCAGTCACAGGAAGATTCAGAGGAGTAATTCAACCTCAGTGGATCATGTGGCATGAGGTATCTAGCACAAGATGTTTCAGAGGTGGGAAATTACTGTTCAGTAGGTGATTAAGTTGTTTTTTTGCCCTTTTCTGCCACTGAACTTCCAAGTCTTGCTATGTGTGCACACAGACAGTGCAAGCAAGAGTAGAACAAGGAATCCATAATAATGTTGGTATGCATCTGTTCAAACACAGAAATCAAAAGCATCACTTTAAATCTGTTGCTAATTATAATAAGCAAGTGTGCTTCTTGTGAGTGACTATAAAGTCTGTCTGGGCAGTTTTCTGAAGTTTCCTGTGCCTGTCAGTCGCTCACCCAGCTGATGCGCTCTGGTGGGCAGACTGGCCAGGGCAGGGTTACACAGCAGAAACAAACACTCCAGGACTCCCGCTTTTTTTCTGAGCGCCCTTCGGTCTGTTTTTTAAAGTTTAAGGGTTGCTGTGGTTCAATCATGTTGTAAATGCCTACTGTAAATTTTCTCAGATAGAGATGGATAGGAGCAAATATTAAAATTCCCACAGTACTTGCTTATGTTTCACTGCCAGTACAAACTATAGCAGCATGCCAGTAACTGCAGATCACAGACTCTATCACTCATAGACGAAAAATCCCTACTTTTATATTATAAATGCCAACTAATGAACAACTGCTAAGCTAAGGTAGAATAGGCTTCCAATTTCTAGTCCCATTTGGCTATTATTTCCGTGCCAATACCACTGCAGTAGATGCAGGAGATGTGTTCACCGATTAGAAGGCTGATACTGAGGGCATTCTTTGGTGTTAGCGTACTGCATCAGAAGTAGCTGTCGTCTTTGATTCATGATTCTCTTTACCCTTAATTTTTCTTTTCTTTAATGAGTCTTGGAACCAGAGGAATTCAGTTTAATTAAGCAAAACTCTTGGTTTGTGATGCTGAAATGAGGTCTGAGGAGACAACCCGTGCATCTGTAGCTAGTCATGTTCTCTGTGGGTGCCTGGAGATCACTGCTGAGGTCTCAGCAAGCGCAGACCTTCTGAAACACTGGAGTGGAAATGCAGCTGCACTTCTTGGTGCTTTCTGCTTGAAGCAGGGTACACAGAGGATGTTTGGAAAGAATCATGTTTTGTAAGTTGATGCTTAGCCAGTTTTTTTGGGCGTGCCTGGCTCAGGCAAATGCTGAGACAGGCAGCCAAGGAGAAGGGATTCCATAACTTCTTGGTATTTGGGTTGCTGATGAGATACTATCCAGGCTCACCTCAGCTCTCATCTTCATGAGGGACCATCTTTGTCAGTGAAAAATACAATTCAGACAATCTTTTTCTCTCTTGGAGATAGTTGTGTCACAACATAGTGTCTTGTTAGGGCAGCATGGAAGTTTCAGTGGTGAATTACAGACAAGACCCATCTTCCAGAACTGCATCTGGTGACTTACATGAGAAAAAAACTGATTCAAAATGCCCCCAGGGAAGAGCGTCCATACTTCACTTTTATACTCATTGTAACGTAAATGCATTCCTGTTCAAGTGCGGTCTGTGTCAGGCAAGTATCTCTTAATTAAACTGATTTTGCTGGTGTGGTGTGCTGGCGGCATGGCCGTTAGTGGGAGTCCAGCAGTGATTTCAGTGAGCGAGGCTTGTGATCCGCTCGCTCCAGTGAGCATACAGAGTGTTTCAACAACCCCAGGAGGCATGAGGGGATTTCAGACCACTAAAGACTCTATCGTATTTGGACAGTTTCGTGGAGCCAGAGGGACAATATTTCATGACAGATTGATTTAACCCATATATTTCTCAAAAGCTCAAGTAGTGTCAACTCCAGTCCACACTGTGTACAGTAAGAAAGATAATGAGCTTACTCAGTGGGTTCATATTTTATGTTACCACTCAAATATTTTCTTACCAAAATCATTGGCTGTCTAAACTGCTGAGTTTATACAAGTCCATTGCAATTTGTGCTGTGATTAAATATTAAACCAGAGTGTATTTTCAGAGGAAATAAATTTAGAGCAGGCCACTTCGTTCTTTAGAAGAGGATCTCTGCTCCTGTTGGTTAGGAGATGGAGTAAACATTCCTCCCTCTAATAACATAATTATTCAAAAAATGTTCGCAAGGATCTCTTTGTAGAATCTGTGCTTATGCTTCAGAGTCATTCTTTTATTCCAAAATGAGGATAAAAGGTTTAAGATTCAACAGCTGATGAGGTGATGCAGGTTTGCAAACAAAATTTTGAGGAGAAAGGGCCCAATTGTATGTGAAAGAGTTACTCATTTATAAAGAAACCTAAAACTAAAGATGCTTTGCCATGCCATTTAATTTTAAAGATTTTCAGAAGCCTTCTGTCTTTTAAGAAATTTTAATGTTTTAACTTTACAGTCACCTGAGGTACTGCTTTGCAAAGCAAAAAAAAAACCCCCAAAACATAAGCTTGGGCATCATCAGTTTCTTAAGCATGCTTTAACACACAACAGTAATGCTTCAATTTTAACAGATGGCATTTTTAGCATTAATAACTTTCACTAAAATCAGTATGTTTATTTTTCAAATTTTGACAATGCCCATGCTGTTGCAGTGTAAGACACCGAAAAAGATGCACTCTTGGGTTAGATCAGGTGTAACTACTGATGCCTTGGCATGTGGAGACGTATGTGTGTGCACATGTAATGTCTTTTCTATGTGAAGCCTGGGAAGAGATGTATTTTGACTTTCATTGTCATTTTCATACAATTTTCTGTGTCATTCTTTTTCTCCTTATTTTTTGCCTTATTAGTGCAGATTAGAAATGAATCTTCTTTGGGGGAGTACCAGATAATCCTTTGAATACATAATGTTATCTGTAATCTAATGGGATCTTTTTTCCAGTGTAAATGTCTCCTGGGTCTGCTCCTTGAGTGTACTGAGCACATCATTAATCTAAACCATGTGCTCACTGAGTTTCACCTTGAACATGCAGCAAAAATATCTATGTCTTTATGCTGAATAAGTTTGATGTGCTTTAGTGCCCATAAGTGATGAAGAGGAAGGAGGAATTCTCTTTGATAACATCGCCAAATCTGCCATTGACCCCTTCGACACCTCTTCTGGATCAGTACAGCTGATAGCTATCAAACCTGTGGCACTACCTGCTGTCCATGCTGCATCAGATAGGAGCCAGGAATCTGCCATCATTAATGGAGAGGTAAAAACCGTCTAATAATGTCTCCAGCTGTTTCCTTGGCTATGTCCACAGGTGGAACAATCTTAAGCCTGTTAGAGTTGAGGAATGGTAGGAGCTTTTCACCCTGATGCTATATAAAGTTACATTAGCATTGTGGGCTCAGAGGTCTGAGAATTTAAGATCTGCTCTTTCACGATGTACTTATGAATGCATGCGACCTTGGAAGAGGCAATTTTCTATATTCCTACCACCTTCCCAATATCATTTTCTCCTATCATATTTGTTTTAACAAAATGAGTAGTGAAGGCAGAGAGCAGAAGATTTTTGTCTACATGAATTCTGTGGTTGAGCATGGGAATGTGTATAGATCATCTGGATGCCAAGCTGATCTTTCTATACTGAGCAATACATCTCATTCAGAGCAAGAAGGGATGCAACAGTACCGTGGCTTTGCTCAGTCTGTACTCCAGCTTGTGCACAGTTGGAGTGCAGTGGTTTCATTGGAAAAAAGTGGGATGATACAAGCCTTTGATCCAGGTGCTGGCCAAACCCCATGCTTTGGATCCAACACTTGTATGATTATTTATGGGTTTTATGTAGATTTAGCCAAGAGTGGTCCACTTACAAAGGACTGAGGCTTTTACATAGTTGTTAAACATGATGGGGACAAGCCAGAGAGGTGTCTTGTTTGCAGACTTGCACTGCAACAGTCATTTAAAGATCAGCCAGAATCTCCCTGCTGCCATTTAAAAGCAACAGGGCGGGCTGCTGCGAGAGACACAATAAAAGGCAGTGTCATGAGGCTTCCCATGGGGGCCTGGATTGGAGCAATCTGTCGTACTCTGTTTTGTACTTGTATTTTAAGCCCTGACATGCCATGTAGTTTCCAAACTCAGAGAAAGGCTTATTTAGATTTCAGCATCTATTTTCTGTAAGTCAATAGGATGGCACTCCAGGTGGTGTGTGCTCTCTTGTACATATATTTCTTGAAATTTGTGAGAAGGCTGTAGAATTTGACTCTGGAAGCACAAAGCCCAAAAAATTGCTCCTTTCCATGTAACTGACAATTTGAAGCAGGAGGGAGATTTTCTCAATCCATGGGACCTGACCTGTACGAGGTCAGACCAAACACCTGTTTATTTAAGGATCCTGTGTCTGACAGGGGCCCATAACAGATTTGTAAGGAAGCATATAAATAAAGGGAGCATATGATGATATTTCACTGGAATTCCTCCCCAGACATCAGTGATGACTTACTTAAGGTTTTGTGTAGTCAGAGGCGATGTCTCTGTACTTACGGGACCCTGGAAGAGTTTTCATCGGTGAGTTCTCCCCATGTTACCCAAAAGCGAGCACGTTGTTGGGTCATGACAATTGGCTAACATCATCAGTGTTTTTCTTCAGTGGGTGTATCTGAGTCACTGTTGTAATGGTACATAGTTTTTAGGCTAAAATTATTTAACCATCTGCCAAGCCATAAAAATGCAGCGACTCTGTTCACTTGCAGTTCCTTGCTGCTTACAGATGGCATGGTGTGGTACAAAATGCGCTCTGTAAAATGACACATGTAGTGCATCAACCACACTCTGACTATATCGTTTGGAAGTAGCCAGCCCAGAACCATCCTTTAAATGTCTTTTTGCCTTTTAGGTGAACAAAGCTTTGAAGCAGAAGTCCGATATAGAACACTACCGCAACAAACTGCGCTTGAAAGCCAAGAGGAAGGGGTACTATGATTTTCCTCATGTTGATAACAAGGGGGGGCTGACAGAGAGGAAAAGGATGTATGAAAAAAACCAGAAAGAACTTGACCACATTTTGGATCCAGATGCAGATATCTCATCTCCATTTGCAGAGCCTAAGAACAGGTGAGACTTTTTATTTGCAGTCCTTCATCTGGGAGGAAAGTTGGTGTCCAGGGGTTGTAGGGAATCAAAGGGGCTGTTCTTAATAAGCCAACTGTTTGTTGCATGATCAGCTGACTCCTCATACTTAATGAAAATAATTCATATGACCCATGATTTTTTATCAAAGTATGTCATCTGGTAAAACTGCAATGTGGTTAAAAAGCAAGAAATGGAAAGAAAAAAAATAAGCAAAGAGACTGTTGCAAGTTCTTGTGAGTCATTTCCCAAGTAAGGTAAATAGAAAAAGTGGTAGTAATATCTTTGGTAATACTGAGAGTGCACTTAAGCCAGGAAGTTAGCATCTGAATTAATTCTTTTCCACAGGTCAGTGGTGTTATAATTTTGTTATTATTTTTACCTGAATATGACTATTGCAGCAGGCATAAGGTAACACAACCAGTCCATTGTCCGTGTATCTCAGTATGTCCTGCAGGGATTGTATCTGTAAGGCTGTGTGTGTACCTGTTATTGATGATCTTCCTGTGCCTTTAACAGAGAAATTAATAATTTGCTCATCTGTGACGTGAAGCGGGCATATTGTATAACAGTACTAATGTTTGATTAACACTTCACTGTCTCTTGGGGATGGCACACCAGTAGTATTCATCTCCCCATTTTAGAAACGAGGGGGGAGCGTACATGCTGATTCTGCCTGAGTCTACTGTGGGTGGGTGGACCTGCTCTGTTGCTGGTGCTCTCTGAAATGCAAGTTGACTCACTGAAAAGAGATCACAGCAGTCCTAGCCCAGGAATGGCACAGTATGCAGAGTTCTCTTCCTTAGGGCTGGTGGAGGTGTGACGGATTGTAAGACAGTGTGTTTGCCATTGCACCTTGCACCATGATGGCTCTGGTTTTTACTGCAGTCAGGGACCATCAGCAGTTGATCCATGAGAGAAAAAGGGATACTGAAGTACATTTCCTCTGGAAATGACCCTCATGCCTGGAAGTGCAATATTGCATCCCATCTCCTGGAAAGTTCAGACCAAAGCTTTCCTATGAACATAAATCATGACTGCAATCAAAGTATTGGACACAGTGCAACTTCAGCAGTTACCCTTGGGGGCACAGAGATGAAAAAGACTGTAATGGGAAACATAAAAGCAGTTTTGTCTCAGAATATGGGCAAAAGCTGTGATCAGATGAACTTCTACAGGTCTAGAGTTAAATGACTAAAGGATACTGCCCCTGATAGGCCATTTCCCAGGGTTGTGCTGGTCAATGAAGAAAAAAGATGCTGACTTAACTGTATGTTATGTCCTTGCTGGAGGGTGTAGGGCATCATTTCCTTGTGCAGTTTTCCAGTGAGGGAGGAATAAAATGCTCCAAGTGCACTGGAAAGGTAAGATACTGAACCCTCAGTACACAGGAGTCCTGCTCTGTCTGCAGTCTGTCCAGAAGATATAGATGGAACAGCAGAAACATTGTTATGACTGTTCTGTACATGTAGTGAAGGACTGAGGCATTACTTCAGATGTTTATTATGTGTCACATGCCATGTAGGAAATGTTTAAAACATTACACATGAAGCTTTAATGCTAGCCATCTGCTTTTTGTTAAATATACTGATGTTTGTTTGTTCATGTGCCAATGTGCTGAAAGGTCCCAGAATACATTTTTTCTGTGTGTTTTCTACCATGTTGTGTAAACCTGTCATAGTCTATTTAAGATAGTGATCACTGGCATGATATAAACTGCTTGAAGGCAGGTATACTGCTGTAGAGGAATAATTTCATTGTGTAGCTGAACCATAAAAGGCTGACTGCTGGATTTACTTGTTATATAGTCTATATCCCTACATAAGAAGAGAGAAGAATCATTTCTGATGCACTGTCTGTAAAGACACAAAGCACTTAATGAACTTCACAGATGTTGCAGATGTTTGCAAACAAACCAATTCCAAAGTCTATGCTAAAATTTCCATACTAAGACCTGGAACTGAACTTGATATGCTTCAACACACGACAGCATTACTGTCTTCATTTTTCTAACTAAAAATAAGATGGCTAAAATGGCATACTGCTGGAGGAAGACCTTGAATAATACTATAAGGTAATGTGAGTTTTGGTTATTGATAAATGAATCAATACAATTGTATTTCTGTAATGAAACAAAATATATTTTAAAGCAATGTAGTTTAGCATAAAATTGAAAAGATTTGATTTCTAACTTCATCTGTGTTGCATCAGTGTTTATACCATTATAGTTACAGCAATTAAAAACTGAAAAATTGCATTTTTTTGAAAATAATATCACTTAAGAGTCAGTCAGACACTTCAAAGTTTCTAGGGAAAGGGTTTATTCCACTCTTTTCTGGTTTGTATATATTCCTCTAACTTAAATCACATTAATAAAGCATTTCCAAAATACATCAGAAAGTAAAGATGCAGTTGATTACTCAAGATCACCTTTAAATTTTGGATTTGTTTTAAATTATATCTAAAAGTTATTTACAAAACATTGGTACTAAATAATTTTATTTGCTCACGGCCAGTTTTGTGCTCTCAGTACCTGAGTCTTCTGTACAACAAAATTCATGTTTTAAACTGTTCCATTTGTGTTCCCAGGAGGCACTTGCTAACCCATTTGAATACCAGTTGTTACTGTTCATACCTCCTTTCTCATTAGTAAAACTTTCTTAAATGAGCTAATTGGCAATCTCAAGGCAATTTTTAAGAGCCTACTGATGATATGCACTATCCTGGGATTTTCTTGAATAGTTTGTAATCAGGTCAAGAATCTGCATGTATTAGAGAGCTGTATATTTGAATCACTTAGAAAATATATCATAACTGCATCAACTAGATATTTATGGACCTATTGTAAAACATATATGAAATTTTAGAGACCTTTAATGTAGGAACATAAAGATTGTCAGATCTGATTAGACTTAGCATAAACTAGTTCTCCATGTTCTCTGGTAATACCAACAGTATAGTCTTGGAAGAAACAAGATATCACATTTTAATTTATTCAGTATTATTTTTATAGCGGAAATTTATTTCAAAACCTCTGCTTGTCTTCTGCTTTGGCAGCGCATTTGGGATTTTCAAACATGAACATGGAGATTTGTGATTAAAAGTCACATAGAAGTTTTTGAAAGTTGGCTTAAAATTAAGTATGTGCATGAGTACTTAGTTTAATCAGAAGTGTGAAATTGATAGTTTTTTTGTTCTACCGTTTATCCCGTCTGATCATGTAAATGTCTGTCTTTCTGGATTCTGCAAACCAGTTTCTGTCACTCTAATCTGTCAAGCTAAAGAGTTCTGTTAACCAAATCTGTAATATCTGAAGAATTATTTCTTCTTACCAGTGAATTAATTTGGACTGTGTTGTCTTTTAATTTCATTGATGGTTTCTGAGACATTAAACGATGAAGCCTTTGTAATTGGTGAATGGAACAGGCTTCCATTCACCAATTAATGTGGTTTCCTCTTATGTTACTTACAGAAATGGTCCTAGGCTTATCAGTATCTCAGATATTGTAGTAGTTCTCATTGTAATCACTTCAGGTAGTCCCAAACATTTCAAACTCTGGAGACCTTATTTTTACTCCACTTATTAAATCAAATAGAGCTCTCAGCCACAGGCTCACTTAACTTTAATGTAAGCATTTCTTGGCCTTCAATCAAATATTAGCAGACGATTGCATTTTGTCTCAAGTTAACTGGCAAGCATAGGAGAATGTCAGAAAAGTCACCAAAGTCTTCTCCCTTCAATAGCCCCCTTCCAAATTTCATATTTCAACTCTTCTGATTCCCACAGATTTATCAATCGTGGCTGAAAGGCTGTTGTGCTCTGACTGATGTTTATTGCCTTTGAAACCCTCCCTTTCTCAAAATCATCCCACAGCTGTGTTGAACCCTGTACCACAGCAGCAATCTTTTGCTAAGATTTGATTGAAGGGAAAAAAAAATGCTTGTCATTTTTGAACTTTTCTGATGTAAAAAGGTACTTGTATGAATGTGATACACTAAGGGTGTTTTTACCTCCTCACGAATAACTGAGAAAAATAATGTTGTGGACACACAATATTACTGCAACATTGCTACCTGAGTATTACTAGCTACCAAGAACAATTTTGGGAAAACAAGGAATACGTGTGTGTTTCCAGTTAATCATCTGTGAGGGTTAGTTGAGAACTGCTGGCTTCAAGCGCCAGAGGAGGGGAAAATATATCTCAGCACGTATGGATAGCTGTCCATCTGACCTAAGTGCAGATGCTGAAGAAGCAGGTCACTTCAAAACCTGTGTAGTTACACTTTTGCTATATCTCTTACTATTGTCTGCTGAGCACAGTGACAAGGGCTGGTCCAGTGGGCCCCAGCTCATGTCAGGGATCCATCTGATAGTACGATGCAGGTATTCAGCTGTAAATCTTACCTTGCAAACACACACTGAAAGTGTGAATTCGGACATGATAGTGCAGCTTCTTCCCTCTGAACATCCTCAGGCCCCCTGTGCAGGATGAGCAACATGCAGACATGTTAGATGACCTAATCTACTTTTAATATTTTGAACAGAGTAATGACACAAAGCAGAAAAATAGCATTTCTAGGCAAAGATAACTTTATATTAGGCTCTAACAACAGTATAATTAGTGTGTTAATAAATAAATCTGGCATGCCATTATTTGATCTGTTATTGATCTACAACAGGAGGAGCACTTCTCTGGAATATGCAAGAAAATGGCCAAATACACTATGAGAACATTTCCTAAACTTTTCTGATTTAGATGTAGCCTACTTAAAAGATGCAGCTTGATAAGCATGAATTTCCTGTATCATGATTTGGCAACTGCTCCTGAATAGTTTATGTACAGTTATGTTCTGTATTTTACAAGGGAATGCTGCATTTGGTTTTATATAACCAATAAAAAGGGAAGAAATTATTGCATTGGAAAGATTACAGGATACTTTGGGTATTGAGTTACATGCTGTCTTTCTATTACATTTGCCTCCCCTTGCTTCTTAGCACAAGAAAGCTCAGTGCCTGGGGTTGCCTTTGCCCGAGTGCTGCTCCGATCTGTGCTGGAAGTGGTTTAATCCCAGGGAGTAAAGCTCTCTGATAAAGTTGTGGCCAGTTACCAAACTGGCTATTTAAAACCAGCATCTTGCAAGCAGTTCCCTCCCACTCCTGCTTCTCTTCCTGTTCACTTTGCTGGGTGTTTGTTTCAGAGAAGCGTTATTCTGCTTCTCTCTAGTTGCTCAGGATCAGCAACCAAAATCTCTGCTCCCCATCCGAGTGTGGGGGAAGTCCTATTATTTTTTGGTAATAGCACTTATTTATTTTTTTATGAATTTTAATCATAACAGCTGATGTTAAAAGTGTTCTGATACCTTCTTGGGACATATTTCTTCTGATAAGCTCCTACATATTATGTCCATGTCTTTTATGTAGCTTTATTTTCTTTAACTGTAAATAAATTTAATGATCTTGTAATAGCGTTACCGATTTCTAGCACTTCCATATACATAGAAAGAATATCCTGTAATGAAGTGGCATTTTTATGAACCTCATCATTTTAGAATAAAGGTAAGTATTGAAAACTGCTGCCTGTAATTTTTTTGTTTTCATTTTACTGTTTTCTTGTTTCATGTTTTCTAGGCAACCAATGAAGAGCTCGTTATACAGAAGCAGGCAGTCTTTGAACAGTCCTAGCCCAGGAGAAACTGAGATGGATCTTCTTGTGACTCGAGAAAGACCTAGACGTGGAATCCGTAATAGTGGATATGATGTAAGTTTATCACATACATGGAGTGAAATTTTCTCAGCAAAGTCTTAACTTAGTCCTAAAACCAGGAAACTATTGATAAGCTACAAGTCAGAGTGCCATTGGATATTTAACATTACAGTACTTCATGTGCACTTAACATCCTGAAAAAAGCTCAGGCTACTCAGAGCACAGACTCTTTCATATACTTTATAGCTGTACAACATTTTACAGTCTGCAATGCAAACAAAACATTTGACTTGAAACTCATTATTTGCCAAAGTATTGAATTTTGAATTTAGATAGTCCTTCTAAGTATGTGGCCATTTACTTGATACTGAGCTTTTTTTCATTGCAATTAAAAATCCCATTTATTCTGATGCTGCTCTCTTGATTCAGAAGAATGAACAGCCAACTTCTGGGAATTTCACTGAAGTTCAGATGGCAGTGTTTTGTGGAAATCCCCTAGGAATAGATATTGTCCTCTAACTACATCAGAACTGGGAGAGTTTTGCATAGGTAAATGTCAAAACCAGCCAGAGGAGATGCTGGTTTGTGGTCAAAGGAACGCACACAGCCAACACAAGACAACTTATCTGCCTTGTGCAGTCTGAACATACACTGGGTTCAAGTTGACACTGTGTGCATCAGAATGAGGATAAAAATAGCCCCCACTCTGGGGTCATGTAGAATTTTTCAATCCTTTGTCACACGTACAAAATGCTATAGCTCAGCCATCCCTGAAGATCAGTCCCTAGGAAAGGTCTAAACCATTCTGGAAAAAAAGGAAGTGGTGGTTTTTTATCCTCTAATCTCTGTAGGTGTCAAGCATTTTGTGTGGGGCTTAATTGTCAACTCTCTCAGCTACCAGGGATGTGTTTTCAACAATGTAAAAGAATGTACCAAGGTCAGGGGATGTGTTCAGGGAAGTTTAAATTGTTTGCAGAATTCTTCAGGGCATGCTGTAGGTGTCAGATTTCTGAAATGATTTCCTGCATTTGGACGCTTTGCATCAGGTTGCATGAGTCATGTTGTGCCATGTAAGTGGGATGACTGGTTCTCTGCTTTCTGAGACATTAGAATACCTCGATGTAGCCTGGAAAAAGAAAGGCATAACCTGTTGAAATAGGTTTAGATTTTGCAAAAAGATTCCTTGCCCTGACCCCTAAAACGTTTCCTTTATTTTTGGAGCTTTCTTAGATAAAAACATTGTCAAGCCAGCCTTCCCTCAGTATCCTGGAAAAGCTACTTTTGCATAGGTGATATTTTCCTGAAAGGAATGTTGAAAACATTCTGGAAGCAGGCATGGCCTCCTGCTTTTAGTTCAAAATTAATATACAGTAAGTAATTAGTAGAAGATTTTAAGAATATATTTTATTATATTGTGTATACTATATATAAAATACATTTTAAAGAAAATGTTAAAAACTCTGAAGCTACACCAATGAGCTTATGCAGATTCTAAAATGTCCTGAAAGCAATTATATTCTCTGAGATCTGTGTACATCACACACAACTTTGCTTTTACCTTTCTTTTAACATGGCAATTGGGCAAGCTGTCCATGGCAGTCTTTTTTAGTGGTAAATTTGTAAATTTACTGATAAAATTCCTTTTGCCCAATGCGCTACAGATTCACTGCAGTGCACCTCTTCTATCTCTGAATGTGTTTCCTGTCTGAAAGCAAAAAATGCCAGGGGAAAATGGGACAGGATATTGTAATTTAGTTCCCAAGCCTCAGCTTGCAGCGTGGGCTGGTTTCCCTCACTCCTGTTTGAGGCTCCTCAGAGCTGCACTGAGAGTCTGACAGGCTTGGTCTCCCAGGATACCCACAGGCGGGTACTTGTATCTATATTTATGCATGGAATTCATATGGATCTCACCAGTGGTGCGACTAAACACCTCTGTAAATCTGACCTCTGAAAATGGGTAAAAAAGGGCTCTGAAAAAGGGCTGGTTTGTGTGCTAAATCTTGTGTCCTTTCTCTTTTTATTTAGTAACATCTAGTTACCATTTTTTGACACCCACTTTGTTTTTCTAAAGATTCCAGCCTTCTCAGACTCCTGCTAACCAATTCCTCCCAGTATGTTATTTAGCTGCAAGTTCTGCCGAAGAATAGTGAAATTTTTTTTTAAGCAGTTTCAAATAATTAAATTAATGAATAAAATAGCTCGTATAAAAGTCATGAGATTTTTTTACAGCTTAACAAATTGCTTTTTTTCTTTTGAGCTGTTACCAGTATGCCCAGATTATGTGTTGAGGTTTATCTTCCCAACATTTATTTAAGAAAAGAGTCTAAGATTCCCCCAGATTCCTTAAGAAAACTTAAGAACTGCTAGACACATATGCATCAACCAAATCGTGACAGTTTATGATCTGCATGATTTTGCTTTGTCATTTAAATAGGAGAGTGAAGTAAGGGCTCAGAAGTCTGTCATTCCACACTACTGATTTTTTATTTATGTATTTCTGGTTCCCCTTACATAAAAAATTTCTAATATTTCAATTATGGTTTTCTAAAAATATTTAATTCCCTATAATGATTTTTTGGTGATATTTCTCTGAATCATGGTTCTGTGTCTAAGGTTTAAAATCTGGTCAGGATATGAGGTCAATAGTTATAACCTGTCCATATAGAATGTGTAGCTTTTTGCATTATTTTGGAGTGTACATTTGATGTTCTGAGTATATTGTTTGCCTTTATAGCATCTTATATAAATGGATTATTATTGAACAGTATGTATCTTTCCATTTTAAATAATCTCAACAGTGTTTACTATCACCATCTTTGCCTATGAAGTAGATTAAGGAGACTTTATTAACATGTTTATTAATTCCAACATGTTCACAGACAATTGTGAGTAGAGCAAATGCTGTAATGAAAGAGTCTAGAACCTCTATACCGCTAATGAGCTTTATACTAGGGCAGAAAATATTTAGGCTGTTTTGGGATAAAAGGAAGAAAATGACTTTATTATATATAGCGAAGAGATCAGGATACAAAAGAATTCACTGGTGTAATTTTATTGATACGGTTAAATTAATGCAGCTTCTCAAAAAGCTTATGGATTACTGTTCACATGAAGAATTTTACTGATACAATTGCAGCAGCAGAGTTATTCCATAAGTGTATGAAGTCTGTCTCTCAGTACAGGATTCTTTTTTCCTTCTTCATGTAATTCCAGTTCCTTGTACTATACAGTAACTGTGTATAAACACTATCTGGATTTTTATAATGGTCATGTTAACATGTAATGGCATCTATTTATGATACTTACGTATTTGAATTAATAGGAAAGCAAATGATATACATCAGAAAGTGATAAAAAAGTAATGGTCACCAGTCTCTTCCAAAATCTTCATGTCAACTTTTATATTGATAAATCAAAGCTGATTTAATGTTGACTGCTAATATGCATCCTTTATTCATATGATATATTTTAGACATTCTGCAGAGGTCTAATGGCTTCACCAAGGGGTTGTAGTAGAGAACCTGATTTGTTTCAGCATTGGTTGCTAATAGGTCTCTTGTGGGATTCCATTCACTGACACTTTTACAGGCATGAGGAAATAGAAGAACCATGGTTATTAATCATCCAGTTGGGGCAGTATGATTTCAGAGGCTCTTTGGTTGCACTTATACAAACTACCATTCTATTTTATAGTTAAGCTTCTAAAATTTTACCTGATTTTTATTTACTGCAACAAAATAAATAAAAATGAAATAAAAATGCAGGAAGAAAATTAAGGGAAACTATCTAGTTGAAGATTTCCTAGAGTTTTTCAGTTTAAGATAACTGTGTGAAGTTACATTGTTCCTCCCCAATCTTTTGTGTATATCACGTAGGAAGCTTGAAGTTGACTTTGGGGTTTTGAATTTGAATAATATATTGTATAAATATAACCACATAAATTACAGTTAAATTCTAGTATGAAAATGATTAATTATTGTCTAAATTTTTCTTTTTTATTGCTGTATTTTAATTAACTACAAATGTAACTATACTTATAACAGCCAAGAGAGAAAACAAATTAAGATCTTTTACTGAAATATATCGTCAGTTTTTAAGCTAATCGTGTAACTCATTTCTGAATGTCTGACAATAGAAGAAAGTCAGTTTGATATTTTCCTCTGCAAATGAAGAAATATGTATTCCGATTGTCCTATAGTACACATGACCACACACAGCTTGCAAAAGGTTGGGGGCAAAGTTGCTTATCTAGTCAGGTATAGAAAAGCACTATTACATGGGAAAAAAGTCTGCCATGCTAGGAGCTACAGAGCACTTGAATTATCAGAACAGTGCTGGAATTTTTAGTAAGAACATCCTGTTGTGTTCTTTTATTTGTGGCTATTTTAAATGCTAAGACAGTTCTAACCACATGCTATATATAGAAGGAGGTACATATCCTGGTCTTTGTTTCAGTTATCTTAGCACCTTAAATGCATTTTACTGCTATTTCAAGAATTATAAGGAATTGGTTGCTTTTTTTGGTTGCCTGTTTAAAATGTAGTTTTTATAACTATATGCTGTAAAACTAGTCTTACAGAATATAGATGAAGTTAGGTATTTCACTGTCAAATTCTTACAACATGATGATTTTTTTCTGTCTTGGAGTTATAGGCAAAAAAAAATCAGGGGGGTGATTTCTGTTTGTACTTATCTGTACAGAAGGAATTACCCTAGGAATAACCCTTCAAGTTAAGCTGCCCAAGTACTATCTGCTCATTAGAGTACATGCATTCACTGTTTCCACAGTAGTTTTGGTTAAATTTCTGTGTAACTGCTCTTCGGTGGCTAGGTAAGGTGACCAAGCTGGGTCAAGATATTTTCTGCAAGGGACAGGACCCAGTTTGTAGCATCGTTAGTGATCTTCATTGGGTTAGAAGTTCAGGAAAACTCCTAAACTTTAATTCTTCTAAAATCTTAATGTATGAGAATGGACAAAAGAATTTCAGTCTCTGTAGCTGTAACAAGAGGTCCCTTGTAAGGAGTCCTTTGCAGTGATGGTGCTATTTAGGGAGCCATACTCCTCCTGACACAGTTGTATTCCTATTGATACTAACAACTAAGAAAAGAATTCAGATGTTAGTTCTAGTTGTTTTTAAGTGAATCATTGGCAATTTAATCTGCTACAGAGTATCCCTCCTAGTTTTTGCAGCAAACAATGTAGGATATAAAAGGCTATTATACTTGCCTGCATCATATCACTCCTTTCCAATATTTGTTTTGTGTCTATATTGTCACAATTCCTGTCTTTGTATATGTTACATCTGTGCTTGAGTATATTTGTGCTGCTTCACACAAAACACTGTCTTGTAAAGCTTTTTACGTATACATGCTTTTATTCCATCCAACAGACTGAGCCTGAAATTATAGAAGAAACAAATGTTGACCGTGTCAACGAGCCTCGGAGTTACACCAGGTCCCGTCAGGCCAAAGGCCACTCGGAGACCTCAACTTTAAGTTCTCAGCCCTCCATTGATGAGGTTCGACAGCAGATGCATATGCTCTTGGAAGAGGCTTTCAGCCTGGCCTCTGCGGGCCACGGAGGACAGAGCAGGCAGGAGGCGTACAGCTCAGCACCGCACTTGCCCTACTCGGAGGTTGTAACCAGTGCTCCTGGTACCATGACCCGACCTAGAGGGGGGGTACAGTGGGTACCCACATACAGGCCAGAAATGTATCAGTACAGTTTACCAAGACCAGTAAGTGAAACTTCTCTTTAGTATGATATCATAAAGATATTTCTACTATGAGACAGATTTTTTTTTAAAAAAGTAGTAGCCCCGTTTACATCCTTAAAACCAGATGTAAAGCCATGCTTACAGTAAATAAGTATGGGTAGTGGGATGTATGTATGTATGCTTACCCATACCCATCTCCTGCATGAATACTCAGTATTTTAGGAGCAAGGTTGTCTTGTCTAAATTGTGCTTGAAAGAATAGGCTGCAATAAGCTCCAGGCTGTTCAAGAGATAAAAACGTTTTTGCATGTCTCCTTCTATTACCAAATGTGTATTAGGAAGCGATCTGCTTTTGTGGAACTACTGGGTAGGCAGCTGGGTATGAACCTCTCAACACTTCTGCATGAGGTCCATCACTGAAGACCATCATTGCAGGAGAGTGAACCAACTGTAATAATCAGTGACCTGAAATATGGGCTGTTATTGACAGTCTTGCAGTTACAGCTATTGACTTGAGACTCTAGAGGTGGTTTAATTCCATGGGTTTCTTGGTTGGCCTTATGTAAGTCACTCTTTATCCTTAATTTTCTAGCTTCAAATCATGGCTAACGTCCTTACCTCACAGAAGTAATAAATGAATTAAAAACTTAAATCCACTGGTGGAAGTAGTTAATGGAATTTTGTAGGTATCTAGACAGCAATTGCAGTAGCACTGTGCACATCCCCAGCATGTTAAACTACCCCTGAATTCCCACATGCGGTATTGTGAAAGTCAACAACAAATTTTACTATTTATATGTCAGGTTCAAATCTAAACCAGAGATGTTTGCTTTCAGATGAGAAATATCCCATCTATCAATTTCAGTGTGAAACATTGTTCATTTTAAGGCTTTTTTTCTGGATGGAAACAAGTATTTTTTTGAAAGAATGCATTTCAAACTGAGTCCCTTACTCTAGCTAGTGTAAGATGATAATGCAGAAAAATGTCCTCAGTACAAAATAATTTTTACTGTGACTTCCTTCCATGATAATAAAAAAATACATTAAGGGATGCTGATTCTGAACTATTCTGAACATATTTGAAAGCCAATGGCAGTTCCCGCAAAGGTTCAGGCTGGTGCTATTTAAATCATGCCAAAGGTTATTTCTGGCACTTCAGAATTGGTCTGATGAACTTCATACAGCATGTAATCATATTTTATGGTTAAAATTCGATTACAAGCTTAAGAGACAGATAATAGGTAGTCAAATTACTTTAACACTTCAGAGAGTCTTTCTAAAATGAAATTAAAAATATTATATGGCAACAGGTTTTTACAAAAATGTAATAGCCATACTTTGGTGAATGCTTCACTGTTTTCTTTCTGAGACTTATTACTCTTCTGAATCATTTGTATGTTTAGGACCTTTAAGCATTTGCTTTTCTTTCTGGCATTTTGAAGATAGTGTTAAAAAATTCCCTGATGATAGTTGATTGCCACAGATTAGGATAGGCACAGGATGCTGGACTTTGAATAAGGGCTGATAATTCAGTTATCTGCATACCAGTTTCACAAATGAGCTATATTTTAATTGTTTTGTTCTCGAATGGGGATGGAGGATCGGAATTGAAAATATCCAGCCAAGATGTGTGTGGGAAGTGACCTGTGGGTAGGAAAAACGTGGAAGAATTACTTCTCTCAGCAACTCAGCAGCTGCTTGCCTGCCCAAGATACCTCTGCTCAGCAGCTCTGGGGGAGATTCTGCGATGGGGAGCACTTGGAAGTGGGTTGGCTGACACGTAGAGAAGGTGTCCGGGCTCAGTGAGCTGAGACATGAGTGAGCAGCCTCTGGCAGCTTTGGGGATGAGACGTACCTGAGCACTGCAGTGTTTGTTTTATGTGGGAGGATGTTACCTCTGCAAACCAAGATTTACTTACTTTTGCCCCTTCTTAAAACTCAGTTTTTAGTGGCAATTAAAAGTCAACATTAACAATGCTATTATAATTAGAAATCTGGGACCATTAGCATTTCGCTTGCTCAGATGAAACAAATTCAGACATTGGCTTTACAGTTGGGTCTTTAGATACAAGGCAAGTATAAAGGTCTTCAGTCCGTCACTCTCTTCTATGATCTGGCTCTTCACAGTCCAGTTACACTGGCTTAAACTTTTTACAAGATCCCACAAACTTTCCAGTAACTTGAATGCACCTTTAGGTTTTATGAAGCCTAATGCAAAGGCATTTCATAGGTGATACAAGTGTTGCATAAGATTTCTAGCACAGACAGGCTCTACCTTTATAAAGCACAAATGGTAAACAGGTTGAGGCAAACCAGCAAAAACCTGCATGCAAATCTCCATCTGAGTGTTTGCTTCTGTTCCTAAGTATTTGTGTCCTATGCTTTCAGGGGACCAGAACCACTCTTCAGGTCTACATTTCTTCAGGTCTTCTCCAAATTATGGATTTTTGATTTTTTTCAGTCAACTTCTTGGCTAGTCCCAACATCAAACAGTTGTGTATCTCTCCAGAGCATGCATGCATCTTCTTTTTTTTTTCTCTTCCTTTTTCCTTTCCCTTTTGAGGCCTTCTGTGGTTTTTTTTACATGCTAACATTAATACCTAAATTATCTGTAGCTCTTGTGAGCGAATGCCTGTTTGCCAAACTGCCCATGGGTGACCTGTGATAATAGGATTCCTTCATATGAGGCTTGTGACTTCTCCTGGCAGAGGAAAGCTAGTAAAATTCAAACTTTTAGTGTTGTTCTGCAGCCTCCAAAAATGAAATGAGCAACACATGGTTGGGTTCTTGTCATCCAGCTGGTATGCTATGACTGGAGGATGGAGTTACAGCATTGAGTGTATAACACAAGCCTGACCGCCAGCATTGTGCTGTGGAAGATCACATTTCTGCTTTGGAAATTCACAAGCTGAGTTGAGCAGAGAGCTATAGCCAGGGAAAAAAACCCTCTTTATTAAGAGGCTGGACCAGTTCCCATCTCTCCTCTTTCGTGCTCTGGAAAGCACAAAACAGAGCTCTGTAACAGAGCTCTGGATCCCAATGTGAGACCTAGCACTGTACAATGGGCACTGATGGATGGACTTGCAAGATGAGTGATGTAATGTATCCAAGTTCTCAGAGCTTCTCTTCATTCAGTGGAGGTGAAGTGAGAGTATTTTACCAAAGTCCAGCCACTTCCAGTAACAGTTACTAAACTAACTATAAAGCAGGACAGCTAGCAAAGCAAAACCAAATCTAGCTGAATTCAGTAAATTTGTATTATTCCAGGATTACAGCTTAATAATCAAATTAGTTAATTCATTCAATGAGTAAACAAAGGCACTGCCCTTTTAAGTGCTATGGTGAGATGTACGGAGATGGATATTTCTGTAAATAGAAGGCAACACTGAGTAATTTTACCCAAGACAAATCTGTAAGTTGGAGGTGGTGAAAATATTTTAATACTGCAACCAGGGAAATGTAAGCTAACTGCAGAGTTTCTCCTTTAGACTGTAGTTATTGTGTGCTGATTTAACTTTTATTTCCTGCATCGTGACAGGCAGTACCTTAGACTTTTGTGGGTTGTAGAAAACACTGGTGCAGGTGTCTGCTGGTGGCTGGGCTCTTCCAGAGCGTTGTGTTGTATATCTCCTGGGCCTAAAGGCTGAAGTTTCTCTGCTAAACTTCACTTTCTACTTTAAAAAATTCTTCACTGGTTTGCTTTTTAAATTGCCAGTGTTTTAGCCATAACAGACTCCTTCACTGGCATTTCTTCCTGACAGGGTGGCGTGGGCTCTGCAGTCTGGTACCTGCACAGCCTGTCCTGAATCTCAAATTTTATTACTTCCTCCAGTGATTGTTACAGTTACAGCCTTTGTATTATACAAATCTTAATTTTTCAACAAAATAGAGCTTGGGATCCATGCAGAATGTTTCTCTTTTTAAGCTGTTTTGTTGGTTTTGGTTTTATTTTTTTTTTGGTAAACAACAAGCAATGCAACTTTTTTTTAAAAAAGGATAAAGTAATTTTGAAGAATAAAATTAGGCATTTTTTTTCTCTGAAATCAGCTGTTGGTTTGGATTTTTTTTTCTGACTAGAGTTACAACAGTGTATGAATTTCAGACATTATTTCTACAATGATGCCAGTTAGCCTAGAACCTAAGCACTCATCTAAATCTATAACAGACACACCTCTATAGTTAAACTTTGGTTTAATTTAGTCTCTGAACATTTTCTTCCATTCAGGTGTTGCATGCAGGAAAACACTAATGCCCCAGCCCATTGAAGAAATTCTAGGAGTTTTACTGGTGTTCCCTCTCATAACCATTTTGGTGTCTGTGGAAGCTCAGCACAGGGAGGACTGACTGCCGTCCCCCAGGACGGACTGCTCCTTGGCATGGTGTAGCAGATCTTCTAACAGGATTTTTCACCTTAACAGGATTCCCTCTGCTGGCCATAAGCAAATATTGCCACTCACTCAGAATTGTTCATCTCTTACGTAAGCAGCAAAATAAATGCTTTGATTTTCTATATTATTTTTTTCCCAAAAATTTTCAGTGCAAGTTGCAACACAGCTGTGAACTGTTCTTTGTGATCCCCTAAAATGCCTCCTTTGATATCCATATTACAAAGCGCATCCACTAACACACAAGAGAAAACCCAAAGCTACCTCTGTGTCTTTGTCTAACCTGTTATACTCTAACAGCATCTGGAGTCACTGACCACTCTGAAACATTAGCTTGTGTGCTGTTCCTTTAAAACACAGGAAAAAAAAAAAAAAAAAAAAAATCCTTGGTACAAACGCATCCTGAGAGCAAGATGTGGGATGAAAGGCCTGGGGAGCCAGGAGGAAGGGTTCAGTTCAGCCTGAGAGAGCACTACCAGCTTTTCAGATGCAGAAGAGGCACTGAAGACCATTTCAAATCCAGTGCTATTAGGAGAAATCTAATTGAGGTTTTCTTTGATGTGAACAGCATCGGTTTTTTTCTATATAGTTCTTTCATTAAAACTAGTATTTCCAACCCCTGGCTAGGAAATGTACTATTGCTTTTTTAGATTTTTTTTTTCTACCTAAATATAGAAATACTTTAAATACCATTGTAGCATGGTGAAAGTAAATATTATGAAACTTTGTAGGTGGCATGAAAGGAAAAATAATTTTCATAGATATGCCTTTGAGGGACTTTACCCTGCTTTAAATGGGGTAGCAGTAAGAGGCAGGAGAAAGATACTTGGTCTGTATTGCTTTTCCCTTAGAGACACTGACATCAAAAGTCAGTATTTGATAAATTAACTTTCCTATGTGTCAACCCAGTTTTGCAGCTATTTGAGAAAGAAGGTATTGGAACACTGTCTAAATGTGCAATTTTTAAATATGATTACTGAAAGATAGTGGGTTTTGATATTTAGTGTGGGATTTATATTGCCAAATTCAAACCTAAATGTAGGTGTTAAGTCTGAGCTAATCATGTAAATCCTGTAGGCTCTTTCCACAGGCAGGAGATAGAGAATGACTCATCCCATGGTAGCATGTTTTTAGCTTTCTTTTTTGTTTGTGGTGGGAGCTTCTCTGGCTAAATCAAATGCCTATTTTAGAGGGTCAAGATCCCACCATTGGACTTTGGACTCTAGTTCTTGTCAAAATGCCTGTCTTGATACTGCCCAGCCTCCTTGTAATTTGTTACTTGTTATTGCTCTGATCTTATCTTGAATCCTGTGCATTGCTCTGAAGCATTGTCAATAAAAGCATAACTACGACCCCACACCCCACCAAACACAATGTGCTGATGAAGTGTCAACAAAGTGTTAGAGAGTTATCATTCCTCTGTTTTCAAGTATGTTTAGCAAAATTATGACCTCTAATCTACAGTAGTACAAAGAATTTAGAAGAGAAATTTTGTCCTACATGTAATTTCTTGGGTGCCATGAGTTTCATGCACACAATTATTCATCCTTCACATGTATTAGTGATGAAATCCAGAATGACTATGGGCAAGATGCTTAATTTTATGATTTAGTGGGTTGGGCCTCTGTTCCTCTGAATTACTCTGCTTTTTCACAACAGTTTGAGACTTTTGTTACTGCTTTAGAAAGTTACAGAGCTTGAGGTTTTTGTGAAGAATTTTCTTTTCATCTCTTCAAAGCTGAAAGAAAGAGGTTGAAATATGCATTGCTCACAGGCAGCTTCACTTCACTAGATGCTGCTCTGATGATGCTTTCTGAATTTTTAAAATATTTTGTTTCTGGAGGAAGTGAAATACTGAAATCTCTTTCTTGTGAGTCCAAAGCAGCTGTTGAGTCTCACATAATCAGAACAGATCTGCTTTACCAGCAAGGTTACAAATGTCACAGAGACAGTGTTTAATACGTTTTATTTTAATTAGATTTCATCTTGGCTCTGAACTCATTTGTTCATGTTTTCTTCCACATCCTAAAATCACCCAAGCACTGTAAACTCGCAAATAAAATGCAATTACAATTGATGGCACAGTAAGTTAGCTTCCTGTTGGCCGACATGCGAAGCAGGTATTTAATTTCTGACTTTCTTGTGGTTTTTAATTTGATTGAGATCTATTGGTGTTTCAGAAAATATCTATTTTTCTCCTTTACAGGCTTACAGATTTTCTCAGCTTCCTGAAATGGTAATGGGTTCTCCTCCTCCTCCTGTCCCTCCCAGAACAGGTCCCGTGGCTGTTGCCTCTCTCAGGAGGTATTTATCTGTTGTATTATTTTATGTATGATCTCTAAAAAACACTGTTGTAATAAGAACTGGGGCAAATGCTGAAGGGGCATTTACAAGCCACTTATAAAGACACATTCATGAAATTAAAATCAAGTTGGTTTTATTTCATTTTAACATGAAGAGGAAAGGAGTAACAATGAATTTTCTCTTCTATTCGCTAATCAGGTTCAATAAAATTAGGAAATCCAGGCTCCAATTTCTTTTAAAATTTGCTTTGCCTCAGCTTGCATAATAGTATATTGTATTGCAGATGTGTGGTAGTTAATTTGCACTGTCATTCTTCCTGCTTTTCTCTATTGTAAGGACTTGCAATAGGATATGGATGAATTGTAAGATGTTTCTCAGTACCCTGGGACTGGGGATTTCTGCCTAGCTTTCAGATATCCCATACCTGTGTTTCTGAAGCCAAATATGTGCAAAAGCCTGATTGCTTTAGCTCGATACATACATTTTGCCTCTTCCTCACAGTAAGGCACTCTCTAAAATGCATTTCAGGGAATTTTTACGCTTCTGTGGTGGATGAACTCATTTAGCCTTCAGTGCCTTGCCTGTTAGGTACTGCCTCGTGCCAACTGCAATTCGAGGCACTGCAGGCCTGCTGAGAGTTGCTGTGGAGCACCGAGGCCAAAGGAAACTTCTGAGTGACTGCTAATGATATTGTAACGGCATCCAAATATTCAGGATATGGACACGGTCTGTCATATTCGTGTTCATCCATTACGTTTTAGCTCTAAAGCAACTGGGACACACCATTTCAAAGGATGTTAGTACTTCCCAAGTGCACTTAACATTACTTACCATAGGAGTCTCCTACTATATTATACCATGTCATATATTCTGTATTAATATGGTATTGTCTACAATTTTGTGTTGATGAAATAGGGTAAAGCTCTGTTTTTTGTGTTGCATGTCACAGGCATTTGTTTGAAGCTGCAAGCAAAGGTTCTATGCAATGGTAATAACATGCTTTGTCAAACCAGTGACTGGGCTAAAAAAAGTTGTTCTCAAACATCTCCAGATTTACTGTTCTGCAGTTGTTCTCCAAACTTCTGTCACACCAGATCAAAATTAGGTAGTTTGTTCCTAGCTTGCTGTAGCTGATAGGCATGTATGTGGCTATGAATCTCATCTGTCAGTCAGAATGACAAAAGTTTGTATTTTTTTTTTCTTTCTTAATGCACAGGTCTACATCAGATATTGGCAGCAAAGTGAGAATACCCGAGTCCAGTGGGGCAGATCAGGCCCAGCATCATGATCAGGCATCTTTTGCACCTGGTTCGAGAGCTCCAATGTCTGTTGGTCCACTTGATCAATCAGCTTTTCACTCAGGTGAAAGAATAATGCAGACCCAACTTGCAGCTTTGACCTCACAATTTATTTTGCATATAAACGAATGTATGTGATATAGCAAATACAGATGATTATTTGGTGAAAGACTGTATTAGGTGTTTTTATCTGGTGCAACTAAAGGACACCTACAAAGGATTGCTCCTTTGTAAATGCAGCATCAGCTGCATTGTAAAATACTACTCATCCTGCAGAAGCACCAGGTCATTTCTGAAGGTAAGATCCAGCAGTAATATACTAGACATTCTTTGTTGAAGTACGGCATTCTGCTGGCTCACTGATAAGGACTCTGAATTATTAAAGCCCAGTAAAACAGTTCATCTGTACCACAAAATCCAGTGGAATTTTTAGGGCTGGTACAGAGGGTGCTGGCTGGCAAAAGCAGAAGTTGCAGTATTGGGACTGCTGCATGACTCGCATGTTGTGTTGCACCGTGTACAGAAATAAAGCGGGAGAGATGGGTAACACGGTTCTCAGGGGCATGGAGAAATGAGGTGGATCCTTCCATAATTTTATCAGTCAGGAACATTAGGATAAGTGCTTGAAAACAGACTACGCTACAATGGAGCTGTAAGCAGTGCTGCAGAAGGAGGCTTAATGGCATTCTCTGTAGTTTGTAAGGAAGGGGAGGAAAAAGAAGTGGTCATGAAGAACAGCATGTGCATGACTGAGGTTTTCCAAACTAGCTGTGGGATAAGTTTTATGACTCCATATTTCCTCTTGAGAAACTTAACCTGTAGTCTTGTCACAACGGTGGGCTGCTGGGAGGGGTAAGTTGAAAACACGTGCCCCCTTCCCTTCAAAACACAAGGCCATAGTACTTTTGCATATTAAAAGGTAATCTGTTAGCTCATCTCCCCTCCCGTTTTGGACAAGGTAGTTCCTGCTCAAGTGCAGAGCTTATTTTGGGTCTAAATGTCCCAGTTTTAAAGGCCTGGTGAGTTCTCTGTCCTTTTGATATGAATTTTGTTTATAAATTAATTGATTTAATACTGAGATTAAGCTGATACACTGTTTTGATTGTATCTGCATAACATTTAGCTGGGAAAATATTTGAAATACCTTCTCATTGGCAAAATACATTTTCTGGAAGAGCTATAGAAAAGAGTTTACAAGATTAAAAAAAAATTTACATTGTCAATTCTAAATTTTGGAATTAGTAGATTTATTAGACATTGCTTTGTTAATCTGCCAGAAAAAAATTCTTTCTTAGCTTCCTCAGAAGTAACACAGTTATCTGCATTGTATTCAGCATCATCTACTGAGAATAATAATGTGCTTATGCAAACCTGTTGTCAATTAATTAAATATAGTAGGTTCTACTTTCACTTCTTTTCATACCTTCTGCAAACAGTGCATGTGAATCTGAAAGGAGCAGATGCTCACCCTTTCATTTTAGACCATTTCAAGCTATAAAATATGCCATACTACCAACAGCTTTTTCTTCATGTCTTCAGTAATGTGTTCTATGTGATGTATTTTTTTATCATTTCCGGTGATATGGAGATTTTATTACTGTATGTTAAAAACTGGTATGTTATGTTACCACTGAAGAATGGCTTCATTTCAGAAGAGACAAAGTGACCTTTGTATACATTGTGGAGTTTCCTGGAATAACTCTGGGGATAGTTGGAGGAAACTTTCATATACGATAGATCCTAAAAAAGTCTGTAATACAGGAAAATACAAGGAGAGTTGTGAGAAACCTGCAACTGTAATACAAGGATTTTTAATGTTCTGATAGGAAAATAATTTTTTATTGCCTCAATAGATGAAGGAACATTGCTGCAGGTGCTGATTTGGCATGAAACTGCCTAATGTTGTTCTCATGCAGTACATCAACATCAGCTCTAAGATAGCGATGTTGCAGTAAGAATTGGAATAAGGTATAACATCAGCTAATTGTGTGTTTATTTTTAATACTACCTCATTTTGGTGTGGTTAAATTTAAAAGAGCATTTTGTTGTAGAAGCCAAGTGTAATCTACAGGAACAGCACTTTCTTCTCTGTACATGTCTGAAGAATACTTATTTCCAGCTTTGCTAGCTCATTTAAAATAGCAAAGCTTGTGCTGTCTGTGACACAGGAAGAACAAAGATTGCCAAAGAGTCCATCTCCTTCCAAACCAAGGGCCTGGAGCAATTGGGATAGAGGTCCTGTGAGAGACCCTGTGGCTACCTGCCGTGCAGGTATACACCATAGATCCCACCAGTCCACAGCGATTCCATGGTAGCTGCTTCTCTGATGGCTGAGTGACTCCAGCATCCTCCCTGACATAGGTGAAAAGGCAATACAGCCCAATGTCCAAAAGAAAGCTAGTACTTACACAGTGTTTTCTACTGCTAGGGATTAAATGTCAAGCATAACAGAAGTTTTTAGTCCATATTTTGGATGACATATCCCTCATTATTCTTCCAATTTTTTCTGATTTTTTTTTTTTTTTTTTTTTTTTTTAGGCAGTGTTGGAACAGATGATATATTTCTGCTCTGGAGAGAATTGTGCTATAAAATATGTTTTTCTCCTCTTTTCAAGCCCTGATTGCATCCATAGCCATTCTGGCCTAAGACTGCAAGGGCGGTTGTTGAGAACTTAGAAATGGCTTGTTTTGTGGAGACTGTTTTGTGGGGATGGACGTAAATGTTTGAGTCTTTTGTGCATGTGCCTATGCAGTGTTCCCATCATCTATCAGAGTAGGCAATATAACACCCTTACAGAGTGTTCAGGAGCAAGGATGTGCAGGGGCTGTAAATGACATTTTGGGGGGCAGATATTTGAAGCAGCCAGTGATGCTAACAATTATTCTCTGTATGAATGCCCACGTCTTACCATTTTGTCAGCATCTATTATGTAGTAGCATTATATCTACTGAGGGCAATTAGTAGCAATACTCAAATGATGTGCAGTTGGAAGGGATAAGAAGTGTATTTTCTGTACATTGACTGTAGTACAGAGCCGGTGCCCATCTATCCAACGTTACTGTACTTCCATTCCTCAGTGAAAATGCTTGAGTTGTACTTTGTGTTCTTATGGAGATTACTAACTCTTCTGCTTTCACATAAATGATGTTATTTTTGCTATATTATGTGAATCTGAAAAGTAAAATACATGTCTGTGTATTATAACTGAGTACTCAAAACACCCCGTCCACATGCTTTGTTTACTACCTGATAAATATGATACAGAGCTTTTCTACCCAGGATTTAGGACTGAGGATTTTGTGACATTAATATAGCTGTGGTACAGTGCTGGTGTCTGCCTTCACGTGTAAATAGACACTAGAGGAAGGAAGTCTTACTGGACAAGCAAGTTGTTTGTATTTTAATCTAAACTTGGCAAATACATGGAGTTATGATGGCTTCTCTCAAGGGAAATAGTGGGAGTGTGCACAAAGATGCTGGTCTTCCAGACAGCCTAGTTTTATCCTGTGGATAATCTGAGTAATTGCAGTAACAACCACATTGTTTTCTGCATCTCTGTGAGCCGCAGTTATAAACCCTACATGAAAGACCAGATGTAACATAGCCAGAGATATGGCTGAACCTCATACTGGGAAGGCTGGATTCTCCCACCCAACTTGGAGTGTGATAGTGAAATTTTAGTTGGAGGCTTCCTAGACATACCTATGCATAGATCTTGATTAAGGTGTGATAAAACAGATTTGATGTCAACAAGTTTCCTTGGAAATATTTAAGTTGTAGCTGCATAATTTATTGCAGTCATAGACTGTTCCTGGAAAAGGAATGGAGCAGGTAGGGCCTTGCTTTTTTTTTTTATGGAAGCATTAAAGTTTTATGATGGAGTTGTTAAGATTACAGCCTTTTAAATGTATTGCTCACTCATTTTTGTAGGTTTTGTGCCTAGAGATATTAAGACAATTTTACTGTGTAAACTTGAATGCTCTATAACCTGCTGTTGAAAAGAAAGGTGCATGACTCTGAAACTCATGGTAACAACAGCTAAAAATCGAATACAAGGAAGTAAATATAAGAGGAAAAAAAAGCCTTTTATTTCCTAATGATTCAAAGTTTTGATGAAGATCAGTTGTTACACGGATCAAGTCCTAAGTCCTCATATCTTTATCTGAAGGCTGTCTAATATTATATAGACAACTGCAAATCTTGCCTTCTCCGGTATTTCCCAGCATTATAGAGATGTACTAGTCAGATGGTGGGAGCCTTACTTCTAACGGATGGTGATCACATTCTCACCAATAAAAATAAAAATGAAAAAAAAAATGACTAAGATCAGTTACTTTGTAAGCATTGTCTTATAATTTGTAATTGAAAATGTCAGCTATTATTTATATCTACTCTCTTTTTTAATAGGAAATACCGTACCAGCAGTGTTTGCCATACCAGCAGCAAACCGACCTGGCTTCACCGGCTATTTTATCCCAACACCACCCACGGCATACAGGAACCAAGCCTGGATGCCCTATGCTGGAGAGAATGAATTACCAGGGCAGTGGGCAGACTCAGTAAGCATCCTTGCTTTTCCAACTACATATATTTTCTGTGATTTGCAGAGGAGGGGTTTTAAGCAATGCTAAGTGATCAGCAAAGAATCTGAGCATGATAATTCTTACTTGAATGGTAATAATCTCTAGTAGAGAAAAGTTATGAGAGGGGGGGTATAGATACTTTAGGTGTCTATCCCATGAACTGTAAAGTCTTTTAGAGTTAAATCATTCACTAGGTTAGGGGCCGGCACCCATTTAAAGTTGGGGGGTTAAGTACCATTTTTCTTTCCCAAGACAAAGGTTAAATATTTGGATAGGCACATGTCAGGAGTAGATGATGCTGCCTCTCAAAGTGGCCTTATGCTGTGTGGAAGCTGGGGAGCATCTTTCCCTCCTGGAGGCTTCTCTCAAGGCAGCCCAGGTCCCACATCCTAGCTCCCAGCTCTGCTGCAGCCCCGCTTTGCAGTGTTTCAAGTCCTTCTGCAGGCTGCAGTGACAGACCATAAATTAAATTGCACAATCCTAGTCTGGGACAGATGTAATTTTTAGCCCAAAGTATACATACCTATATTTCAAATAAATAAAGTTGAGACATCCTAAAATGAATTGCAGTAGTTTATCATGTTTGAAACAATTTCTAAAATTTAGGGCTTTTTTCCACTTAGAAAAAAAGATCAATTCTGTTGCTTGAGCTCACATCTGGTATTTATGCAGAACCAATTCATCCAAACAAACTGGGAGATGGATTCTATTTCCTTGTGCATATAATCAACAGAGTATTTTAGTGAATTGCATTTAGAGTCTAATAGTTGGCTTTGAGCAGCTAAGCAAGAGACAATGCGGTCATATAAATGTTCCTGGGGGTGGCTATTTGTTGCCAAATCTTTATTACTGTTCCTGATGCCTGCAAGGAAAATAATTCAGTTTAACTGTCAGATGCAAGTCTGAGTTTGTAGGCTGAACTGTCAAGAAAAAAGAAGTATGTTCATCAGTAAGCTGAGCACATCTGGTGATGTGCCCCTGACACCTGAAGGCTTTTGATGCCATCATACAGATTCCTTTCCCAGAGATGCCCTTTAAAGCATGGAAACCCTTTTTCTTTTCATTGTTTTATTTATTTGGGGTTTTTGTTGTTTTTTGTGTTGTTGCTGTTTTTAACCCTACTGACATTTTAAATCCAGGAGGCCCATTGTGTCATTTAAATAATTATAAACTTCTTCTTTAAAAAGAAGAAAAAAATCCAATAAAACAGGAAAAGTATTTTACTTCCATTCTTTTTCCCTTTTGTATGTCCCTACTCCTTGGCTTCAGTCCCATGAAAAAAAAGAGTCAGATATCACTTGTCAAAAGGGGAGACTGAAAACAAACTGGACAAAACTGGAATGCAAGTCTCCAGCCCCCATATTCTTCCTCTGGAAGAAGAGTGTAAACCTACCGTGGGTTTCCCTGTCTTCAGGAAAAGAGGTGGGAAAAGCAGTTAGTGCTGGTGAACCATGCAGAGAGGAATGACGAGGGATTCAAGAAGCTGTCTGAAAAATAACTGTGGCAATATAGAATTCAAAGGAAACAAATATTCTTTTTAACTTCACTTACCCATTACAGAGCTTTAGCAACTTTTTGTTACTCAGACTTTCAACCCTGCTGTGACTTTGCAGGAGAAGAGGAAAAAATGTAAAACCAAAACACTTCAGTTTCTACAATGAATTTGTACCTCCCAATGGCTGAAAATCTGTCAATAAATTATCTTTATTTGAAAATCATTACTAGAGGAACTAGTAATACTGTTAGCAACATAATACAGTCAGAAATCCGGAATAAAACTGCAAAAAACAAATATCTAAAATAATAATTGGGAGTTTGAGTTTCTTGATGCTTCCTGGTTTCTGAACCTCTAGATTATAGCCTGAATGCGCTTCCAAGTTTTCTTGACAATCAGTAAGAACAGAGGCTTAATATCTATAAGGTGAAAATTGAAATTGTTTACTTTTCATGCATTTCTACTAGCTGGACTGTAAGCAAGGGGACATAGCAACAGGAGATTTAACACAAAGAATTATAAGCTCAATTTACTGTAATGTACTATTTTCTCAGTGAAAAGATAAGTACGGATGCACTAAGTTTTGTGGGAGAATGGAACTGTATTGAACAAAGTATTTTCCAAATTGCTAGATGCTGCTTAGTGAAAGTAGTAACCTGATGGCCTCTAGTGGCATGTTCATATGTGCTACTAAAATGTTTGTCTTCTGAATAATCTATTGTGAACTAAACAGATGTAACTGCATTTAATGATCATTTTCATATCAAGCCTGCTTCCTATGTTTGCCTCATCACACCATACTGAACAAGTCTGACATTCTCTTCATTTCCTGATGGATATCCAAGATCGTATAGAGAATGTGTAAATCCTAGTGGTCAGGTTTTCATAGGTTCTTAGATGCCTGAAGTGGCAAGATTTTCAAAAGCACCCAAGGGGTTGTTAAACTTTCACAGGACCCGAGCCAGAATGGGATTTAAGCAAAATTCCAAAGCTGTCATTCTGAAATCAATGCTGAGGTCCCATGTTCCCCAGAAGGTATGTAAAATTGGCAGATGTTTCACATCTTGACATTTCAGTCTGCTTGCAGCCATCTAAAATTCTGAAATTCTGCTTCTGGGATACTCACCAAAGCATCAGCTCTAGTGGGTGAAGCACCTTACACTTCAGCCTGACTGAAATAAAAAAAATTACCTGAGGCATCTGCCTGGCCACCTGTATTATATGTTTATGTAAAACGTTAATGTATTTAGAAGGTAAAAAAAAAAAGTAGTTTTCCCATTTAAAGCAAAAAGAATTACAGTAAACCTTTTAGTGATTAAACATCATGGAAACTTTATGGTTAACTTGTAAGTGTAGTATTCTGAGTATAGTGTAAATAAGTGTGCTTTTCTGAGTCAGTTCATAAAAAAGCATCACTGAAATTTCCTTGTCCTTCATTGGCATGGACTAGAATGATCAGCTGGTAAGCTTTTTCTCAAGGAGATATTATCTTGTCCTAGTAATAGTTTATTACTAGGTTAATTAATAGGTTGCCTTCTGTAACAACAGAAAGCTTTCTTCAAAATGAAGGGCTGTAGATTCTTATTTTATAGACTTTTGCAAAACAAATAAATACTATTTTTATTTGCTGCATTAAAAACTTCAGAGGACTATAAAGACTGGTATTGTTGTTCATGGATTTGTGAGGGAAATTTAATATCTTACAATAACTAAAGGGTCTATGTTATTACTTTAGTTTTAGTCAGTGTAATGTGGGGCTGATTCCCCATGTAATTCTGTTAAATACAGCCAGAAATCCTGATACTTCTGCGAAGTCAGTGTTGAGTTTCCAGGCTGGCATACCTGAGCTTATCCCTGTTGTCTAGATCTAGTGAGTTTTTGTTAGGAACAGTAAGTCCAGTGACTTGGCTGACTTGGATGAGACAGCGGCTGCAAATCAGCAAACTCTACTTTTCTGTTTTAGACTTTTTAGTGTTCTGAAGTGTAGTGGTGCTGTCTGTTTAAAACTGGTATGTTTCAGAGAAATAGTAAGCAGAGGACACACTTCCAGAGAAGCTCTTTCCCTTTGACTTTTTGCAGTGATGATAAATTAGGACATGCAATGTTTCCCCTGCTAGGTGTTTTTGCTGCCACAGTCTGGAGAGTTGAGTGTCCGGTACATTGACGTATGTGCATAAATGGCACATGCTAAGGTAGACATTTGTAAATGGACACTTAGGAGTATGAGGTTTATATTCTCTTCACATGGTCCTCTTTGTGACATTTTATTCTGTCTTGGGGAGGCTTGTGTTACCTGGCAGGTGGCACTGTGGATCAATTGTTCTGTATAATTTTGTATAATTACAATGCTCTACAGGTACCGCTACCTGGATACATTGAGGCTTATCCACGGTCCCGCTACCAACACAATTCTCCTTCACGACTTCCTCGCCAATACAGCCAGCAAGCGAGCATGCATCCCAGCCTGGAACAAGCTCCTTTGCCATCCACCGCAGCTTCTCAGCAAAGCCTGACAGAAAATGACCCGTCTGATGCTCCTCTCACCAACATTTCTACAGCTGCTCTCGTAAAGGCAATAAGAGAAGAAGTTGCTAAACTGGCCAAGAAGCAAACAGATATGTTTGAGTTCCAGGTCTAGTATCTTTTGTGCACAGTATTTGTATCGTGCAAGCTGGGGTAGCCAAGAAAACAACTCTTTTCATTTTCAGTTACAAACTTGCTGTGAATTGTGCCAAAGGGATGGCATTTTTCTGTCTGAAAAGTCGACACTATGAAATGACTCCAAGTAGAGCAATAGGACTCTGAAGATACATAATTCTGCTTGCCAGCTAAGGAAATGCTGCCAAGTAACTGTTTAATATGGTTAAGATTGATCATATGCAATTGTCACTTAGCTTTCGTATTATATGACCCATCATCAGTAGAGATGCTGCTGAACACATCTGTGCCACAACGATGTTTCATTTGCAGGTCCAAAGGGAGAGCTGCTGAAAATAACTTCTGCATGTCAGAACTTTGATTAAAGAAGTAAATATAGTAGAACACAGTTAGCTAAAGGCCACGGTAGATGTGGCGGTGGCCATGTTAATTGTTTGCTGCAGGGCATTGTATAAGGGATGCTGATTTCAGCAATGAAGAGTCATTTAGCCTTTTCATTCCAGAGACTGTATTCAAACCAAAAGAATTTGAGATGAGTAAGTAATACAAATAAATGTCCTGTAAATAGTCCTGATTCTCCTCATCGTATTAACAGTACAAAGAAGTGAAAGAAGAGAAGACTGTAAAGAAGGTGAATGACATTTTGATAATTGGTGGCTACCTTGTCCCTCAATGCCACTGATGAGTTATGGAGGGGAGGTTTTTCAGCATGAGAGAATACAATGCATGAAGAGTCAACAAAGGATACTGGTGCTAGAAGCTTCCAGGATAAATTAAAAAAGGTTATTTGCGTTTGCTCTATATTCAGGCTTTTCAGACTGAATGCATGTGAAGCTGGTGAACCTGAGACCACTGAGCAAGTGTTTCCAACCTGGAATAATGAATATACCTGCTTGGACAAGAAAACCTCTGTTTAACACAGTGCTTTTTTCTCTTTCTTAAACAATGATATCTACTGAAGTGATGCCAGAAAGTGCTATCTGAAGCTGCAGCTGATTTTGATTACACTGGAACAGTGAATGCACACCTTGGAAGTTCTGAATGTAGAGGACCTGATTATTACATTAACATGTAAATAAGTAAACAATGACATGGATTAACAAAAATACTAATGTTCTGTGAAAAAGAGAGCATTTCCAGAAATTATGCTGACTTTATATTGTGCAAGATAAAGGTCACTAATTGTTAAACTGCATTGTTGTATGAATCCAATCTCAAAGGAAGATCAAACCAGTTGAATGAAATAGTAGTTTATCTTTTGCAGTTGTACAAACTAGTTGGAGATCACAATTGTTTTCAGTTCCTTCAGCAATTAGCTTTGGGAACTGAAGTTGTTGCAAAACTTGTTGTGTTGGGCATGTTTGATGTCAACTGGAGTTAAAGGTAATGTCCTTCGTTTCAGGAAGTTATTTAGTTATCCTCAATTGCTTATGCTATTTTGTCTGATCATTTCATTTCCTTGAGTTCTTTGGTCTTTACTAAGGTGAGAAAGGGAACTTGGTTTAGCTTTTGGCCATTCGTAAAATGAGAGAAGAAGGGGATAGAAGAAGAAATTGATGAAGCACAAACTTTTAAAGCAGAGCTATTTTTCCCCCAAATAATTATACTATAAACCCAGACGGAGATTGTGATACATAGTTATCCTAGAATATACAGATATCTTCTGCTCCAATACCTTAAATATTTCAGAAGTTTTTGGAATGCTAGATAATCTTTCAACGAATGTGAAATTTCATTTTTATTATTTAAAAATCAGATATAAATAAAATGTATTTTTGTAATTTCTATGTATATATGTGCTGTATATTTATATAAGTGACTAGTCTGCTATAGTCAGAAACTTTCCATAAACCAAGTATAAAAAAAAAAAAAAAAAAAAAGGAAAAGAACCCTAGTAATTGTAATGGTCAATATGAACAGGCTATGTTTGGAGTACACAAATACACATTTGGGTGACTTGGATACAAAACAACCAAAGAAATTCAGTCTTTCACATAAGTCCAGTAAAGACAGACTGTTCTCAGTTACCCATCTAAATAATACTGATTTTATCAGTGTAATACAGTACATCCAAATTGTGTTGAATGTATAGCGGCCTAAGAATGTCAGGCTTTAAAATAACAACCTAAAAATACTGGGCCAAACTCAGTGTGACATAAAAAGACTAGTTTTGATTGGCTTCAGTGGGAACTTCACTCACTGAGAGCAAGGCTGAGTTTCTCTACTAGGATTCATCTATACATGCAAATTTCACTAGAATCACTTGAACAATATTCTGCTTATGTTTTAATCATTTAATCACTGTAATGTAAGTGTAGACATAATTGAAGAGCGGTTTACTTTTATTTAGCCTAAGATGGTTCATAACTGGCTTACCCTAACTTGGTAAGTGAAATCTACACTAATTGGGTCAGTCACCTTTTGCATCATATTTATTACCTCAGTTTTAGAATGATTCATCTATTTAGCCCAGTGAAATTTTGCAAGTAGATAGGCCCTTCTATGCAATGGGAGTGAAATGCGCTGTGAAATAAATTTCTGTATCTTAGACTCCAGTTTTGCAGAGTTATCCTAAAGCTGCAAGTGTGGAAGCAGCACCAATCACATGGGTGGGAGTGCTGAAGCCATACAGCAGGGAAGGGTAATGTTATGACGTATTCCCAAAAGAGTCACAGGAGGTAGGATGTATCAGATTTAAACAGCATCTTTGCAACACTTAGCTCTGTTGTAAATCTGTACCCACTCTTAAATTTAAGCAATTTAGTAATTCTATGGAAAAATGTGTGCAGATAAAGCCTCATCTGTCTTATTTGATGAAGCATGTATCTTGCCATACTGGAAATTAAAAAGTTTGGAAATTACTTAGATGTACAAGGTTTGGATGCCTACGTGCAAACAAAATGAACGAATAACCCAAAATAAAAACATTAAAATAGCATTCTAGAAAGAAAAACCATTTCAGAAAAGTTAAACAAAGTACTCTTCATACTACTGAGGAAGACCTGTTAGACTTTAAAATTAATTTTGTTTGGTATTGTATTGATGATGTGCAGTCTATTGAATATTCCCTGAATCATCACTCTGAAACCATTGTGGTGCACTTTATTCACAAAGACATCTTACATTCTTCATTCATAATGGCTTTTTATCCTGTATGTAATATGTTTCTGTATTTTTTTTTTTTAAGTACAAAGTAAGATTATATCAAGACAGTAAGGACATTCCTGGGAAAGAAAAATCATGCTGTAATATTTATATCGAGCACAAAGCAATGATAAAGTGAAAATATAGTGTACAAATAATTTGTAATATAATAAACATTTTGTATGGCTACAATTTCAATATAGTTTTTCAATGCTGATTTCAAGGAAGAAAGTATATCTGTTTAAAGTTATAACCTCATCAGAATATATTCATGCCATTTTTACCGATAAATACTTAGTCATTAAGGCTTTTCTACTAAATGCCCCAGTTTTCTTTAGAATGATGTTACCTGTTTATGTGAAAATACTGTTTTCTGTGTACAAAAATGTTGATGTTCTGACCACTATTTGTCTTCAGATTTGTAAATCATCAGTAGAAACATCTGCGAATGAAATGCACGTAAAATTACTTTTCAGTATGTGTGCAATGACCACTTTCATTAGATACGTGTGACATTAACATCAGTAGAACAGTAATGTTAAGAGGACAAGAGGGCACTATTTGACAGTCATTTTTTGAGAAAAACATTGTCTGAATTTGAGAGACGTTCTAGCACTCAGTCTAGAAATATGAATAATATTTGTATCTAATAATATTATGGGTAGAGCCTGATAGAAGTGCATGTAAATCCTATATATAGAAATGGAAAAATTATCATAAGTAATGATCATTTCTTTTTCAGACTAACTTTGAAAAGGTGAGATGTAAGAAATGTAAGATAAAAATGTGAAGCAGGTAGAAAAAGTATCATTGGATTGAGTGGCAAAACTGTCTTGTTTAAGGGATGATACATACGAAGCTAACTACAGTTTTCATTATATCAAGATGTCTGATGTTAAAGAATTAATCACATTTTAATGTACTTTCTAAAGTCCTGCATTGCAAATATAAGCTAACCGCCAGCTTCTAAAAGTCTGAGGGAGCTTGAAAGCAGCAAGTTTTCTGAGCTAGCAGAAGTGACTTTGTTTTGCTGACCTTGTCCATCCTGTAGACATCTAAGCAGCTCTGAGTACTGTGTCCAAGGATGCTGTAAATCAGTTACGGTCCTGATGTTGCATTTCTTGTTCATAAACAAATCTCAATGGCTTCTCATGCCTCTGACATGAAGTGGGATAGGTAGAGAACAAGTGTGAGATAATATAAAGGATATTAACAGGTCAGGAGTACCTTAATTTTCTGGAAGCCATGGATCTTCTGTTTTGTGTTAACTCATACCTACTGGAAAATGGTTGCATTTGGCAGCTGTTCTCTTCATGATGCATTCCTTTCATTTTCAGTGTCTGATATGTATAAATTAAGACTCGGTCCTATCACAAGAGTGTATTGATTCATGCTTCCACTCCTTTGCGTAAATCACATGCATTCTCTGTGCAGCTCCACATGAGAGAGTGGCATAAGTAACATGAGTGGTTTCCAGTTACTCAAAGTAATCTGTTGAAATAAAACACCAAGTTCTGTGGCATCTTATATATATTTTACTACATGAGGGGGGGATGAAAAAAAAAATTACACAATCATACAGTATGTTAGTATATTAATACCATTAGCCTTTTTTTAAAATGCTTTGAGAAAAAGGGAAAGTTTGATCTGCTTACATCAGGACTGCTCACTAGTAAGAGCAGCAGCCCCCTTCTGCTCAGTGTGCTGTTGTGGCTGACGGAGCAGATTGCTCCTCTGGCCATTCACTGCCCCTCCGTAAAAGGGTACAAGCACACAGCTATTTGGAGTGAAACAGACATAATACTGAAAATAAGTATGTGGTCTAAATAACATCTATCTAGCTCTCTGTGATTGCTCCAGATCCACTACTGGTCTGCTCAGCAATTTTTACGAGCCAGTGTTCAAAGAGGAATGAATTAGCTCAAGCTTGTTTACTATAATGTTATTTAGATATAGCACTGTAGACTTTGTAACAGTGTTATATGGAATCAGTATGTCAAGTGGTAACTTATACCTTATGTGCTACTCTTTCTTTTCATGGGTTAATTTTTTGGCTATTACTCCAGGACTAAGATTTTTTTTTTTTTTTCATATCAAAATACTTCAAAGTTAAATTTTTCCATTGTAAAGGGTAGGCATGCAAATTGAGGATAAGAGTACTCACTGAGAATGCTTTTTTTTGAACTATTGCCTTTCTCTCATAAATAAATAATGCACAACTCAACTTGTGGAAATGAGATTTATATAGGTGAGTTAATGAATTGTGTACTGACTTCCTCTTTAAAAGAAGTTTTAAGAGGGCCAAGTCATAAAGGCAAAGCTGGTTAATACCACAGAATAATCTCTACTGAGAATAAATGCATTGCACAGTCTTGATCAAAAATGTTTTGCTGTGCTCAATGAGTGAAAAGCAATCACAAAAATGTGCATCTGATGATTCCTGTTATGTGGGAAACTTTTTGCTTGGGCTGTGTACATGACATGGGACATGAGACAGGGATTTTGATGGGGCTCTGAGGTGGATAGACTACCTTATATAACACATTTGCACTTTGGGTGGACCTTAACAGTAATAGCCATAAAAACTACAGCCACCAAAGTGGTATGGCAGAAAGGTGGTTTAGGTCCTGATTTTTAAAACTGATGAGATGTCCCAAAATCATATAATACTTCACATCTTTAAAATCACCTTGAGACCATATTCCTTGAAGATTTTCAATAAGACTGTGGTATCATACTTATATATATATATATATATGTACACGTGTGTGTGTGTCCAGAAATATCTTTTGAAAACTAGTTCTTCAATCCGTCTATTTGTCCCCATCCATTTCAGGTTCCTTAAGATGTACAGAGGCAGTAATGAAGAGTTAGTTGCCAAAATTTTTCTGTTATGAAGCTCATGAATGATGATAAATGTGTTTTAAATAATTAGATTGTCAAATGTATAGCAGATATCTCGAAAATAATTACAAATACCATGAAGAGGTGTTTCAGGAATTTGATTTTTTTGCATTTGTTAAAACTAATTCTTGTTTTAAGAAGTGCCTGACTTTTCATGAATTTCCATGCTCAATTCATTCCCAAGCAGTAGCTTGAAACTATATTACATTCTGTAAATAATTTTGTAACTTTATAAATACACATTTACCTACTAGGCAATAATGGGTCCAAATGATTGTAAATCATACAGAAAGCTGATTCCACTGAGTACAGAATTTAGAGAGGAAGTGAATTTTTCTTCAGAGCATGTCCCTCTCCACTGCACCTCAGTGCATTTCTATGCTTTGTAAATCAGTGTCTAAATACCACAACACACACTGGTATCAGTTAAAAGCTCGTGTATCTGGCAAAGAGCACTGACTTCTGCAGCCTCTAGCTGGACCTTGTAAAGATTGCCTGTGTATATGATTAATTTTTTAAACTATGAGATCAGAAATTTCTGGGTCCTTAACTCTGGCTTTTTGCAAGGAATCAGTGGCTTTTAGGTCCTGCGTCACCAGCAAACTTAACCAATAGATACCTTGGGATGTGATGCAGCAGAATACATCAGTCTATGACAAGGATTCTCCAGGATCTAAAAAGCAAATGACTGTAGCAGAAGAATAAGTGGTAAACTTCTATTTCGGCAGTGGATGGACACTAATTAATTATGAATTGATTACTACTGCAGGTCAGAGAGTCTTGAAGTTAGTTGCTTGGAAGCAATTTTATGTATTTGGTTAGCTTTTGATTTTCTCATTTGTTAAAACAGTGCAAAAATAGGAACATTAACAGCATATTCTATTTCAGAGTTATAAACATGGAAGATCTGAATGTAAGTAAACTTGAGGTTTAGTCTTTGTCCTTGCCTTTATCTACTACTTTCAATACTGCAAGTAGGAAAAAACCCCCTACTTTAGCCTCCACCATATTAATTTTAGTATTTCCTTCTATATCAGAGAGACTGGAAATGCTTTTTTCATTTCATGTTGGTGTTGGGTTCTGCAAACTGTATTCAAGGTCACACTTAATAGAAAAAATGACAGTGAAGCCAAAAAATTTGGAAAACAAGATAGAACCCATCTTACTGAGGCTTGAATTTTGGTTTAGGATTTAGCAGCCCAGCAGAAACAGCTCAGACCCAACAAAGGGTCTGTTCTGGGAGGTTCTTTGGGTCTTGTTAGAAAGGACCTGTGTACAGCACAGATATTCCTATGTTCTTTTTATTTTCATTTAATGTCTTTTTTGCCATTGCTGTGCATTCTGAATTTGACATTTACATTGGTGCAGACAAAGAGGTGCACTCTTTAGCTCTCTTGATATACTGCTGGTGTGACAGAAGTAGCAACCAACATATGTGATATAATTTTTAATTAACTATGGCACTGCATGGCTTTGGCCTATGTTCTGCTTTGTGATACTTAGAGATATCATAGTAGTATTAAGGCAAAACATGAATACAGATGATGTCCTCCACTGAAGTTATTGGCAAAACACCTGCTTACTTCAAGGGCAGCAGGAGTGATCCAGCATCATCTCAATGAATTACCCATCACAAATATCTTAAAATTGTGCAAAAAGAGGAATTGGTGCTGTCTGGTTATGGACAGCTGGAAATTAGGAGATCGGAGGGCAGCTGACCCTTCTTCAGAATTTCGTATTTGTCCTAGGCAAGGCACTTAATCTGACTATGCCTCTGTCCCCATCTGTAAAGCAGGGTGAAGGGACTGCCTCTCCTCACACCTCTGGTGAGTGGCAGAACTAACTGATAATATTAGAAACACTGAAACCCTGGAATGCAAGTGAATACCTTAGTATGAAGCACTGTTTATTATTACATGGAGCATGGCAATTGTTCAAGACTATAAATTACCTGTTCCTCTGGTAGCATTTAAATATACGTAAATTTACAAGAAAAAAACTCCACCTCCTGATACTATTTCAGTATGTTCTAGGAAGCCTTTCCAATAACACCGTCTATACTTTTTTGCAGAGGTGTTATATCAATAAATTGTTTCACTTCCCATGCAACAGATCTCACTTTCTGATTAAAAGAACTTTTCTTATGTCTTTGAATTATGGAAAGGACTAGCTCTGCATGATTACAACTATCCATGTTATCTTTGTTGTTCACAGCTTGATTCAACTAAACTGTAATGGCTGTGTCTGTGAAAATTGCTCAAAATTTGTGTTTCAGCTGTAAATGGGAAAATTAGTTGTCTGAAGCCAGTTAGAGCTGCAAAATTGAGAGTGATTTGTAAATCCAAGTCCAGGGATTAAACAGAAAGAGGAAGAAAATAATTAATTAAAATTTTATACTATGCAATCAGAAGGGAAATCTCCGAGAACTGGTCCCTTTTGCAATTACAAATGTAAAGCCACACCAATGGTAGAATTTTATATATCACTGAAAAGGAGGCACTTAAAATGTTCTGGGTCATTACCAAATGGCTGTGTTTCTACTCTGAACTGTAGGGTGATTCTAGAAATGAAGCTTAAGAGTATATAGAATAGTTTCTTTCATGTTAGTGGCTATAGCTTAGTTTAAGTTGTACATGTTTTTTCTTGGCAATTTTGCACTTTAAATAAAATATGTCTTAAAATCTATGTTGCTACTTATTGGCTGTTCCTTCCGTGTCCTTTTCTTTAGATCAGCTGCTTTAAAGCATGAGCATGCTTTTCCCTTGGATCTGCCAGACTCCTGGGCTGTGTAAAGGTCCCACTGCTCATGCTCTAAAGGCAGAACCTGGCAAAGGATAAGAAAGGAGTTTTAAAAACTCCACAAGTTAAAACCATGTATTTCAGCAGTGGTGTTTGCTCTGAAGAAAGGTGTTTGCCTACCTTACAGAGGTGAGCAAGACAGGAACCAGCAAGCCTATGGGTTTTGAGGACAGCCTGTGATCCTGTTTCCTTTGTGAATTTTTGTTTGCACCTTAATTTCCCCTATGTCTTTCCCTATTATTCAGTCAGTTACTGTGGTTTTTAGCAGTATTTACTGAGTCCCAAGTTTCCTGCTGTCAGTCTGAAGTGAAATCAAAAGAAAAAGGAAAATGTAGGTATGTGCTTTGACTGTACTGCTTTTGTGTAATTCGTGATGCAGGAAATGTAGAATAAAAAGTTCATTTTACTACAGGGAATACATCTAACCCTTCCTCCATCTCTTTGTAGTTTCAAAGAAAAAAAGAGGCAGGAAAGGATCTTCCCAAAATAGACGATAAATGAACTTCCTAGTATATGTATCACTACTAAGGTTCTGGACAGATGGTATACTTCAGATACAGTTATATATATATAAGTTGTGACTGTGAGTGCTTAAATTGCCTCAAGGGGTTGTTCTGGCTTCTCTCAAGATATACCAAAATCTCAACCAATTTTGCAAATGCATGTTTTCAGTGCGTAACATTAAACAACTGACTAGTTACTACTAATAATTATGTTTCCTTAGAAAGGCCAAATGCACCACTTACTGATTGCTTCCTGATTAGCACCTCTGATTCAGTATCTAGATGTCAGTGATCCTAAGAAACACTACCTCCCAAGGAAAAGAGGACAAGTTTCCTAGAGTTAAGTGCTGCTCTTTAGTTCCCTACTTTATGTTGAGATATTAGCTCTGATTTTTCAGCATAGGTGAATCTATCATGCAGCATTCACTGCTGAAAACAGAAAAATAATTTTCTGATAGCTCACTGCTTTTGGATTCCTTGGTAATCTGTCCCTGAGCTAATTAAGGCAGCTTTACTTGAAGATTAATTTATATTCTAATGACCCATTGTAATAAGACTGAGTATCTATTTGGACAATTTTAACATAGCAAACTCTAAAACAAAGCAGTCTGAAAATTGACGAACCCAACTGTTTGGTATAAAATGCTTTAAAGCTTAAATGCATTCTTGTTTTCAAATGGCTTTTTATCCAATTTTTCCCACTATAAAGCAGCCAAGGCAGCTTCAGGTTTCAGAAGTGAAAGACCTGAGGGCACTCCTTGGGGAGCATGAGTATTACTGTAGGTGTAGACACGGCTTTTTCAGCAAAACAGCTGTCATTGCTCAGCCCTCAGGTTGGCTGAGAAGATATGACACTCTGCTTTTTGAGAAGTCTTCTTTATTCAGAATTGGAAATGGGAGAAACCTGCTGATGTTTTGAGATCTCTGCCCATGAACCAAAACTGTAGCCTAATGTTTCTTTCTTGAATGCACTAGGAATTTGTTGAGTCACAAGGCAGCTATATGAAAGAGATCTGAACTGTGCCAGCATCTAAACGTCAAGTTTAGCCTTCCCTAAGCAGTCTAAGAGAACAGAAATAATTAAAAAAAAATTAATGACATATACTTTGTGAATAAAAAACTGCAGTAAGAATGCTTATTCTATTTTATTTAATATGTATTTAATTTTTACAAAGGAAACAATAAATAGATCGGGTTTGAGATGAACCTCTAAGCCTACAGAGACAAGAGCAAATTATTGCATGTAACAAGGTGAGGTGGAAACAGAGAAGAAAACTAAAGGTAAATAAAATGTTCACAGACAAATGAAAATCAACATATGCACCCTTATGTTTAACTGGTTATTCGTCCAGGTTATTAATACAAGCTTATTACTTTCTCTCCAAATTCATGCACATGAATGTGTTAGTATTTCAAACTGAAAGTACAGTGATTCTTTCTGGGCAGAAATACTCCATCACATGTCCCATGTTTCCCTTACAGACTCTAAGTTACTTCAAACTCAGGCCTAACTGGCTTTCCAATGAAGATAGCCACCATCCTTTAATGATCCTTCTTGGAATGCTGAGATGCTTCAGTGAAAGGGCTTTGACCAAAGCATTCTGATAGCAGAGTGCTGTAGCTGACGATGGCCAAGAGAAAGCATTTTGCCTTGTTTTGGCACTTGAACCAAAATATTTTTTCAGTTGATGTGCGTCCCCAGGCAACTTTAATTAAGATTACATATTAACTAATGTTAATCCTTGCATTATCACCCAGTAATTAAATATGAATTGTTGTTTTAACATAAAGGCCATATTACAGAAATGGAGCAACAGGTGGAAAAATATTTAAACTGTGTACTGGGAAAAGTAATTCTGTTTAAGCCAAGAAAACCTGAATGAATAATGGCTGATGAGAGCTGGATGCAAAGTGAAATAGTTGGTAAAAGGTGAGGGGAAGTAATAGAAAGCAGTGATCATGTGTAATGGAAATCCTTGTAGGCCCTTGAAATAACCATGGAAAAACAGTGGTTTAGGAGCGAAATTATTCTGGAAATTTGGGAAAATGAAGATAGTTTCTTTGCTACTTAACTTGATTTAACAGCTCTTAGCTTTGTGCGAAGCCTTTGAAGGGCCCTGTATGTTGTCCATTTTTGTCCTGTCTGAGTTTGTCTTCTAGTACTTAGTTTAGGCACTAATACAGTTCCCATCTGCATAGTAATTAACCATTTCAGTATCTATTCACAGGTTTAGCCTCAAAACTCTTTGAGAGACTTTTTATCCTCATTCTGCAGAGGGAGCTGTAAAACATCGAGGCCCAGATTTCCAAGGTATTTCGGCAATAATTCAGTTCTTTACGCACCTAGATCTACCTTTTGGATTTTTACTGCCTCAGCCTCCAAGATGTGGTCAGAAAGAGAGATAAATCATAGGTGGTTATGTAAGCATTTCCCAACCAGGTGTAAAAATACCTTATTTAACAAGCCCGGTTTGGAAGTTGCTTGTGGTGGGCTGTCAGGAGTAAAATAGCTTAAAAGATGCCAACTGGTGAAAACAAAACTGGTTAGGCAGAAGCAGTGTCATTAATAAGGCTCTAAAGAGCTAAGCAGCAATTAAATAGTGTCAAGGTGGGCCTAAAGAGCGGATTTAAGCAAGCTGAAGAGGGAGGGTGTTTATGTTGGAGTGAATGATGGATTTGGGATTTGGAGTGTATTGGCCCGGTGCGCGGCCCGCAGGCACCCTGCCCAGCCGCCCCCAGGCCCGCTGCCCCGCAGGCCCCGGAGCCCCATTTCAGCTCAGCCCTGGCTCCCACCCTGGCCTGGGCTGTGTTGCAGGCATGCCTGCGAGGGGGCTTCTAGGTTTTAGGGCTGCCTCAGTGAGAACCTCCATGAGCCTATGTTATAGGCAGTCTTGTCGAAAGTCTTGCCCCAGGCTTCCTGCATGGGCCTGGGGCCTGGTCCCTCGCCTTGCCATGCCTGAGGTACGCCAGAGCGTTGGACAAAACCTGGCCCTACCACACGCCCCTCAGCCCTGCTCAAGCTCTGTTTCATTAAAAAGCATATTGAAGATGAAAGATAAGCAGATGAAATCATGAATTGCCATATTGACGGAGACACCCAGCTGACAATGGCAAAAGTGGATGGTAAGAGTCTGTTTAAGATCTCCTTGCTGCTTTGATAAAATGTGATTATTATAGTTTGCTGATTGACAAATGGGAGTTAACTAGAGTTTTTTTTTAATATAAACTCTGTGTAGCATAGATCTAAATCTGGCTGGAAAGACTAAAACAGTGGAAGTGAATGCTGTAATAAGCAGTAATAGGAAATAAAACTATGATACCATATTGTGTTAAAATGTTTCACAGTTGAGCAACTTGAATGCAGTTTTTAAAAAACAGATCAAAATATTACTCTTTTATGGAAAAAAAAAAAAAAAAAAAAAAGCTGCTAGCCAAAATATGGTAGCTTCAGGGTTGGTAACTTTACTATTTCATGCTGCCACCTACTGCTCTTGATTTAGAACAGGCAAAAGTAATTGATATCTCTTTATCAGTCCGATGAGCCTACTGTTTACTACTCTGTTAGGTTACTCTTGATGCCATATATGGCATTACTTTTTTTAACAGCAGATGTTCTGCAGATCTTCAATCTGTCATTGCTGCCTCTGTCCACTTTTCCTCATGAGATGCCTTTCAAACGTAAGGCTGTTGTCACGCCAGGCTTCAGGTTTTGCCTAAGCACTATTAGTCCTAAAATAATAGTTAAATGTTAGTTGAAAGTCAATGTTATAAGACTATTCTGTTAAAAACTCAAGCCGTAACTTCTACAATTTTGTGGTACATTAATGACAAGAAAAGAATACACTGTGATTGTTTGTAACAAAGATTTTTATGTTAACATGAAAGTAGTTTTCTAAAGCTTGCTTAGAGGCATAGGACTTTTGACCATATATATTTACTCTGTTGCACTTAATGTATTTAGAATTAAAATACATCCCAACCCCTGTATGTATCTTGGACATCAACTGTGGACTGCTAGGAATCCCGACATCAGCAGTGTTAATTTCTTAGTGGTTTTGAAGAAAATATTATCCATCCTGTTTGCCTATAGTAACTGGAGAAAAAATGTTAAAATACATAGTAGTGTTATCAGTAACTAGTACCAGAAAATAATACACCAAAAAAGTCAACGTGAAAATATACTGTATTTTTAAATTTGGTAGGAGAATAGCATATAATAAGAAAAATAATATCGACAATCCATTAAAATACTCTATATTGATACAGTGACAGAATATCCAGCTGAAATAATCCTTATCATGTTGGTGGCTGTTTCTTCAGCTTCTGCCTTGCTTTCATGACTTGCGTCTTTTCTTCTTTCAGTGCCTTCAGAAGTTTATCTAAACAGGAATGAAACATAATTTGTCATTAATTTTGTCATTAATACTTCACAATACTTTTAAGAAAATCAAAGAATGTGTTAGGCAGATTAATAATATTCCTTACAATTTATTGTCTAGCAAATATCTGAAAACTAAAGTTTCTCATGTGTATTGAAAATAATAGGTATTAAAATGGAAAAAGGTATGTATTGCTACAACAAAGGAAAAAAATCTATTAATTTCCTGTTCTGAAACGTAAATGTATGCAAACTACCTACCAGAATTTCGAGATCTTTCTTTGCTTGTCTATAACTGATGGATATTTTTTCTGTGTTCTTGTAACTTCTGTACTCCTAAAAGTTTCCTGCCTATGGCCTTGAAGGAAATTATGAGCATCGTATCCTTACAGTTGTTGGCCTCCCTACTGGAACTCTCAGTAATCACTGTCTGCTGAACAATTTTATTTCCCGTATTTCCTTCATGGCCAGCAGGTTTTAAAATTAAAATGCCAAACTTATTATTTCTTTTAATGCCTCCCAACTATCAGTGGTCACCAATGGCCTTTATTTTACACCAAGGCTGGTTTACAACTGCAGGATCTCATTAATAATGGATGCATTTTGTACGTACAAGCTTCCTCCGTTTGAAGCACTGTCTGAATTGGTTTTTTTGCTAACGCTTAATGACTTTGGGCGTTTTGTTCCTTTCTGCAGAAGTAACCACATCCGCGGTTCTTGTGCTTCTAATTTGTGCCCTCGGTGGGTTGTCTGTGACCAGTCACCGGGGAAGATGACATGGGACACCAGCTTTACTCCCTGCACTCTATGTGTTTCTCCAGGCACCTGCGGCCGGGAACACTTCGGGGCGCAGGGCCCCAACCCTGCTGTGTGCCTGGCTGGCGCTGCGGGTGCAGAGGAACCCAAGGCGGCCCCTCCGCATCACGTTTCAGGGGGTTACTGATGGCGGAACCCTGCTGCCTTTGAGCCGGAGCTGCGCTCGTTGGGGCGGGAGGGCCCGCAGCCCGCGGAGCCGCGCTCCGCCGGCCGAGACAGGAAGCGGCGGCCGGGCCCCAACCCCGGAGCGAGGGCGCGGCGGCGGGGCCCGGGCCGTGCCCGCCCCCGGCCCCAGGCGGGACGCACACTGCTGGGCGTCGAAGCCGTCGCCGACGAGAGCCCGCAGCTCCAGCTCCTTGAGGCGGATGCCCAGCTCGCAGATCTCGTCCTCCAGCTCCTCGGGCCGCCGCGCCGCCCCCCGGCCCTCTTCCACAGCCGCCGCCGGGCAGAAGAAGCTCAGCGGCTCGTAGGCGGTGTGCGCCAGCCCCTCGGCCCAGCGCGGCACCTTGGCGGCGGCCGGCGGCGGCTGCCGCGGCCCGCCCGTGGCCGCGAAGAGGGTTCGAGGGCCGCCGCCGTCGGCCGGGCGTGGGACGGGCTCGGCGCGGTCGTGGAAGTGGGGGAAGTAGAGCGGCCGCGGCGGGCGCTGCTCGGTCATGGCGGCGCCGTCCGCCGACGGCGGTTGGCCGGTAGACGGGTCCCTCTCGAGTCGGCCGGGCTGGGCGCGGGGCCCGCCATGCTGGGCGGAGGCTGTCCCGCTCCCGGCGCCGGCGGAGCCCGGTCCGGCTCCCGCCTCCCCTTCTCCCGCCGCTCCCCGACCTCGCCGGGGGGCGGGCCTGGGGACAGCGGGAAAATTTTGAACCTCCCAAGCCTAACATGGCTGCTGCGGGTGACGGTTCCAGTACGGATAAATTTTCCCGTGATAGGGCAGGTGCTTCACCCAGCAGTTTTATTTCTGGGCCGGGGATGTGATGTTTCAGGGATGCGTTAGGCTCTGAAAGTAGTATTGTTAAAAGAAGTGAGGAAGGCGTTGTCCTAAAAATCATCCTTAACGGTTTATCCTTAGGCTATATGTGAAATAAGGGAACCAGATAATGAGGGTGCAAGGATGTTGGTGTGAGGTTAGGGAAAATTTCATCTTCAGGTGCTTGCTCACGGATAGCTGATGTTCAGGATTATAGGGTGTTTTGTTTTGTTTTTGTTTTTTGGGGTTTTTTTTGTTTTTTTTTTTTTTTTTTTTTTTTTTTTTTTTTTTTTTGTTTTTTTTTTTTTTTTAGGGGGGGTGGGTGTTCCTCCCCCAAAACCTTTCATGATTGTATTTGAGGATAAGACCTGTCACTAATACTGGCCGGCTGGTTGCTATTTCTTTTAGCCTTAGCTGTTTCCGTTAAACATGACAACCCCCCTCCAGCCCTAGGCAGCTTGGGGCATTGCTCATTGTTTCTGTGGAGCTCAAAACAGGCCAAAAAGACGCTCTCAGGCTTGCAGCAGGAGGACTTCTGGGATGGATTTAAGCAGATTTGAGGTGTTCTGGACAACCCTAGCGAGAGGTGCTGCACTAGTGTTGTTGGTAAAGGATTGATGACTGCAGGGGCTGTGGCGGTTAGTTATGATCAGTAAATTCACTTAAAATGAGGTGAAAAAACAAACTGCAATACTAATGTAGGCTTGAGCAGACTTCAACAATACATAGTCCCTAAGGGACTGCAGTGTACTCTGGAGTAAATTCCATGTTTAAAGCTGTCCCTTGAATAAAATGAGGAGTTTGGTACTACCTTTTTCTAGAAGATGACTTGTGTGTACTTAGGTGTTGTGTTCTGTGCTGTGAGCCAATACTGATGTGAATGTTTTGAAATTCAGCTGATCTACAGACATTAGCTGTCAAAAAAGTGATAGTCAGTACCTTGAAAAGTGGTAGGAACAGGGAGGTAGTAGCAGGAGTCATTCAGTATTTATTTTCATGTGCACTGTTTAGGGAATGTGCTCTGACTTAGAGTCAAAACCAATTGCATTATGTGCAGTGTGCTTACATTATTAAAATTCCACTACCAATATAATACAAGTCCACGTTGCATATTTTGTGAATGGGACACACATAATTGAAATAAGCACTGATCAGATGAGAAGTCTAGTAAGATTTTTTTCACCCCAGTTCTTAGTAGATTAGACAAGAACCCCCAATATAGCTGATTCTACATGACTGTGTGAAGAGAGAGTCCTAGCATTAGGTGGACACAGCACCTGCAAGTGTCTCTCTTTTGTTTCCATGATAATTTGGGAATGTATAATAAAAGTCAATAACCCTTCCTTAAATAGGTCTTTGTAGATCACTTTTGAAAGCAAAACAGTGCTCATGCAGAATTTGCAGGGAGCTCTACTTCAGAAACCAGTAGAAGGCCCAATGCTTCCACTTTTCTAAAATAGGTTTCTGTTTATCTGTGAACATGTAAAGCAGACACATTACTATTTTATTTGAATCTGATTCAGTCTGTCTTTGTTTATGCTCAAACTTAGCTTCCCTTTTGTTGGTACAATTCACTTTGTCATTGGGGTAATATTGGCGTACTTTTTAATTAGTAATATGTTGAATAACTGGATTTGGACTTTTTTTCTCTGAGCCTTTTTTGTCACCACAGTAGAGTTCTGTTTTGCTGTTGCACTGTGAAGCACACCCTTACTTCTCTACCTCTAACTATTAAAGAAGATTAGATAAAATATTAATAGGGGAAACCAAAATGTAAGTATATCAAAGTGTGTTTAAGTATATATGTAGGTGGAAGAGGAGAGGTATTAGAAAAACAGTAAGGTTCTCAGGACTTCAAAGCCCAATCTTAATTATACGGTGTATTCCTTATATAGGGGGTGATAAGGAAAAGCATCTGTTTTCAAGAGAATTGAGAAAAAATAATTAAAAAGAATTATTTCAAAACAATTGAGAAATAGAAAACCATTAGATCTTTAGTAAAAGCATTTATTTTATGAAATAGCATTTATGACTGACATTTTTAGTGAAATGGTGTTAACGGTCCTAGCCATTATTTTTTCTTCAGTAGTGGCATGCTTCATAATACCCTAGAGTGTCCTAGAGATACTCTGAATAATGTTCTGGTATATAGATGATGCGCAAGGATTTCTGTCATATAACTTAGAGTTTTAAGGATTCTTGTATGGAAAACAAAAGTAACCTATCGATAAACATTTTGATAGGGTTATTAATGCCATTTTTCAGAGTTAAAGCCAGTATACGTGCTTAATTTGAGAGAGATTAAATGTGGATATTCATTAACATGTGTCTGTATATTGTGAAGTTTTGGTCATTTATTACAACTAGCAGGGATAGGATGCCAAGAGATGTCAAGGTCAGTCTTGGCTCTGATCCACTGCAGCAATTCTAAGTTTCTGGAAACTGATCTTAGTGAAAAGTGAAAGATAACATATTCAGAACGCAGAGAACGGAGCTTTTCAGCTGAAAGGGGCAAAATGGGAAAATATGTGCTGAGAAGTAAGAGGAAGGAAGGTACCTGCATTTACCAAAGAAGAAAATTTTTGAAGGAGAGAGCATAATATGAGTGTTGTAATTTCACAGGTACTGATAAGAGTTTTTCTAGCATTTTTCTATCATCATTTGTTATCAGTCAAATATGCAGTTTATAAACCTTTCTGTTTTCTTAAAATGTGGATGAGTGAATCACAGAAATAAATGTTTTTATATGTCAACTGCTAAAATAATGAACCTGAAGGTTCCTTTTTTTTTTTTTAATCTTTACATCAAAAAAAAGTGTGATGCTAATGCTGAAGTAGTGGGTCATGCTGTCTTTAGGTGCCATCTGGTGGAGTTTTTACAGCATGTTGAAAGTGCTGCTTTTTCTTCCTGATTGCATTAGTCATGCAGATATGTGCTGAGCACAGAAAAGGTTGCTGCCAGAATCTGAAGTTAGAGATATAGGGATTAGATAAAGAAGACTGGGAGTGCAAAGGCTGCAGCCGGGAGAGTTTATAATTAAAGAGAGATTGTAATTCACATCTTTATAGTATGGGTTTCAGAGATTTCCAGTTCTCATGACTCTTAAAATTTTCTCCTTTATTTAATGTATAATTAGTGGTAGCATCTTTACTGTGAAGCACATCATGTTCTTGGTAATGATATCTTGAAATTTAGATGATGAAATCACAGAATTTCTGTCTAGCCTTTTTTGAGGGGAATGCTGTCAAAATATTTTAGGTTTTTGTTTTTATAATTGTACAGGCATCTTTAGGTGATGCATTGCTATTTATATAACTCCAAAGATTGTATTAAATAGCAAAAGGATTTATGTAAATTTTATAGTAGTCACTATATACATTGTTGTTAGACATCTCAGAATTTGTCAATTATATGAGTTACAGTAGTACTTGTCCCACTGGAGAAAGTACTGTAGTTTTGTGTAATCAAAGAGTTTAGAAGTATATTATTTTCTACTTAGGCCTCAGGAATAAGGTCCTTTTCAACATGTCTATGCAGGTCCTACCTAAAGCACGAGCTAGTACAGGATAGAGTATTTTGGATGCTGCCTCCTGTGAGCAGGTGAGACACCTGGGAAGAGGCAGGGAAGAGAGAGGAAATATTTCGGTTTACCTTCCTGGAAGGCTAATTGTGCAAGGTGGAGAAAGGATGTCATGCTGTGGGTTGTGAGAAAAACTTTAAGAGAGATCTGTTCATTTCTCATATTTATACAGTTATATACCGGTCAGACATGTACCTTCATCTTTGGCATTCAAAATTTGTTTCCAAATTTGGGATCCTTTAGTCCTGGGTTATGCAAATAAATACAACATGTAGAGAGAAATTTTGAGTAGCTAAACTGACCATAAATGATATAAAGATCAGAGTTTTGAGACAAAAAATGTATGTCTGTGCTTTGTAGGCCAGCAGTTGCAGTATCAATAATAACTACATATTTAATCCAACAGAGGGAGTAATATACATACACTTGTTAGTATAATTTGATAAATTTACTACATTTATCTCCGTGTATTTAAGTGTAGATATTTGAAGCCCTTATGAAATGTCAATTTTGGAGAAACAAGTCTTTTACTTACCTAGCCAACAAAGACAGTAGTGACAGTATTCCAGCCACCACTCCTCTACAGTACTTAAGAACTTTTTGAAAGGCTTTTCTGTTGAGAGAAGTTAAGGATAGTCAATTAAAGTTGTGAAGTCTGGGGGCAGCTAAAATATTCTCCTGTTAGAGACAGCAAGTAATGCAATCTGTAGTGTCAGTGACGATTTTAACATTTAAAATGGTGGGAATGGTAAACTATGCTGTTAACTGCTTGTGGCACCATCTAAGCTATATAGACTTATTTTGCATTTTGTATGCACATTCATTCGTACTTACATACAATCATACCTAGGAGAGTGTCTCCCATTGGCTTGATATTTACAGTTTGAAAAGTTACAGCTGCTGGCAACTTAGGCAGTTTAAATAGTGATACTCAGAAGTAAATACTGATACTCAGAAGTGTTGAGTATATATGCGTGTGAATTCATATTTTCACACAGGTTGCTCTAACAATCTGTAAAAGCCACAAATGCTACAGCTCTTCAACTTCTACACTGAATTTTGTATGGCATTTAAAAAAGGAAAGCAGATTTTCATCACTGAGATACCCTGAAAAGTTATGTCAAAAAGTCGGATTTAACATCTAATGTGTTATTTAAAATATATATTAATAAATCATGTTTTTTGCACTCAGTTGAGAGTTGTGTTGGTCTTCCATCCTGGATACTCTGTCTGCCATCTCTTCTTTTGAGTTTAGCTTTT